TTTTGCTTTTTATCATTTTATTTTAATTTTTTGGTGCCGGTGTTCAGTCATGGCACTGAGGCCGCCGGGCTGATCACATACTCTCCTCCCGGCTGTCTCTACCTGCAGGCTGCAGCTCGTTTTTTTTTTCTTTTTCCCCTGTATGCGCCTGTGCGCACCACGTGACCACGCAGGTGACGGAAAGATGGAAAGTAGAAAGAGCAAGGGTGGCGCGGAGAAGGCAAGAATTAAAAAGAGGAAAGCGCTGGAAACAGATGCAGCTAAATGTGCAAAAATGAGCTCCTTTTTTTCTCAAACAAGCTCGCGGTCTTTAACTTCAAATGAAGATAAAACGGGTAAGGCAAGTCAAAATGTTAAACTTTACCGGCTGCAAATCACCATTCAAGTTAATTAAGCATCAATAATGAATTATATGGCGTCATGACATAACGTTATGTAATATAGTTAACAGTATGATGTGACTGATGCCACCAAACTGTCTTGTAGCCCACAAGATCCAGTAGGCCTAATAAGCACCAGGCAGAAACCCACCATTCCAGAGCGGGCATGTACAGGTAGGATTACTTATTGAGTCAGTGAACTGAATATTATTAAAATTTATATGATGAAAACTATCCTGGCTCTATATGAAAGTGTCCTAAAATGCTAGATGATTCAGCATTGATCAGAAAACGTGTAAAAAAGGAAAATGAATGCTGAATTGTGACCATTTTCACACAATGTAGTGTCAGAAGAAGAGCCAGGAGCCAGCAGTGAGGGTATTGCTCCTGTTGGGATAGAAGGTTAGCCAACTCATGTGCAAACATCAGTTTCATTATAATAATTTTAATGTCCAAATAATAGTAGTGACCTGATGTATTTTTATTAGTAAATGCACAAAGCCCACAACAGATCGCTATTAGAATGAAAGTAAAATTAAATAAGCCTGCATATTTTGCCATAGAAAATATTTTAATTGGTTCCAAAAATGTGTTTTCCATATCAAATGTGCTAAAGCTTTACAGATGATTATTTTAATTGTGTGCAGGTGAGTATAGGAAAACTGGAAAAAGTGTGAAAGGGAGTGCTGAGTCATTTCATTTTAAAGGTTTGAAAATCTCAGAACAGCTGTTTGAACAGAATGTAGATTGTTATATTGTCAGAGAATGTGTTGTAAAGAACAATGTTGGAGATGTGCACTGATGTTCAAATAAACCTACATTGTAAAGCAACTCTTTCTTGCACTGAATTACAAGGCTTTACCAAGTAGTGTGCTTTTGTAGACTATACATATAAAGTTCTAACATGATTTTAATAATAATTCGTTAAGTGGGCCGGTCTGGGGTCTGAAACTCCAGGGCTGAAAATGTGTCCCACTCCGGCCCTGCTCACAGCAGATGACATAGCACAACTGATAGGACTGGTAGCTAACTCCACTTACTTCACATACGATAACACAATATACAAACAACTGGAAGGCTTCGCCATGGGTAACCCGTTATCAGCCACCCTGTGCGAGTTTTTCATGGAAGACCTGGAACAAAAAGCTATAGCCACCGCCCCCCCAAACTGCAAAATAAAACTATGGAAACGCTATGTGGATGACATACTGGAAATCATACCAAAAGGTCAAACAGAAACACTAACACAACACTTAAACAATATTGATGACACGGGCAACATAAAATTCACTTATGAGTTAGAAACAGAAGGCAGCATAGCATTTATGGATATGAAAATCACCAGGCAGACCGACGGGACCCTAAACATAAACACATACAGGAAACCAACACACACAGACCAATATCTATTATGGACATCAGAACACCCCACCATACACAAAATGTCAGTAATCAGAACATTATATCACCGAGCAAACATAATAACAGAAGAGAGAGACCGTAAACAAGAGGACAAACACATACAACATGCTTTAAAGACCTGTGCATACCCGACATGGGCAATAAACAAAGGAAAACAACAAACAAAAACAGAAAGCAAAGAACAACCCAAAAAAAGAACCAGAAACCCAGAAAGACAAGAACCAAAACCAGTGATAACCCTACCATACATCAGAGGCATAACGGAAAAAATAAGAGCAACAATGAAAAAACACAACATAAACACACCAACAAAGCCATACACAACAGTTAGAAACAGACTAGTACACCCAAAAGACAAAATATCAGCTGGACAAAAATGTGGAGTCATCTCCGAAATCCCATGCAAACTCTGCAATAAAACATACAGGAGAAACCCGACGCCAACTCAATACACGGACAATAGAACACAGAAAGGAGTGCGAGAAAGAGGCAAATCGTAAACACACAAGAGCAGCAAAAGAAGAAGCAGAAAGTACAATAAAAAAGTCAGCCGTAACAGATCACTGCATAAGAGAAAACCATGTAATGGACTGGGACAACACACGGATCATAACCACCGAACAACAAAAATACAAAAGATGGATCAAGGAAGCTATCGAGATAAGGAGACGTGGATGTGGGACCATGAACAGGGACGACGGAGTTTACACGCTGGACCACGCATGGGACTGCATCGTCGGAGAGGGGAGAGCGGGCAGTAGAGGGCGACAACGTCCTCTGCTGCCCGCAGATAAACGGAGAAGGAAGTGACGCGCCACCATCAGCATCAGCCTGAAGAAACCGGCAGCCGTCGGCGAAACTGTAGCTACAAACAGGTAAACAAAACTGTTTCTGTGTTTGAAAAAGAACGAAAGCATGGATTTAGAAAGACACAGCAAGAACACACCTAAGATCTATCCACACTTTTCTGACCCGTCCAGATCCTTGAGCTGAATCTTGTGGCATCTTGTCATTTATTCTCCCTGGAGCCTCTCCCACCAATTTAACTGCTTCTGCATAAGAAACTTTACTTTGAACTTTTGTGCATTGTATCTGAGTTTCCCTCCTCATCACCAGGCAACATGCATAAGCTGCACTATGTTCCTCCCACAGTTACAACACTTCGATTTTGTTCAATTTCTGCATTCCTCAAAGCTCTTCTCCACATCTTGGGCATCTCTTCTGTCCTTTACACACATTTGCCGTATGTCCAAATCTTTGACAGTTGAAGTATCTAATCGGCTTCGGAATGTACTCTCTCACTGTGTGTGACATACAGCCTAAAAACACTCTATATGGTAGAACGTCACCCTGAAATTCAATCAGCACAGAATCATTTTCTTTCTTTGATCCATCTCGAAATTCTGTAAATGTTTTAGCATCTTTCACTTTTGCTCCTTTTAAATTGGTTTTTATTTCCCGAACTGAAACATCCACCGGTATTCCCCAAATCACTCCTCTAGGTCCCATTCCACTCATCCCCACCTTACTCACACTGATTACTTTGTGTTTTCCCACCTCTCTTACTTTACAGGCCTTCTTTCTCTGATCTTCAGTTTTACAAACAATCAGCAAATTTCCATCTCTCAAAACTTTAGCCAGTTTTATGTCTCCAACTTGATTTTTTAAGATAGACGTTAGGGGTTCACCATGTTCACTCCATTTCCCTCACTGAACCTCAATATGATTTTGAACCCTCCTCCTTCTTCATCAGCACTTTCACTCGACACAACCCTTCTTTGTTTCCTAGTACTATCGTCAGCAGAGTTGTAACTCCTCTTTCCCTTCATCGACTCCTGCTGAAAACTCAACTCTAAATTACTGTCTTTGCTCTCACAGTCCCCCATGTCTCCCCACTCCTTCTCATTCACCAAACAGCCGCGCCTATACCCGCCATTGATTTCCGTTCGACCAAGTTCCACCCGGCCGGCGGGAACGTTTCACTGCCACCTCCCGGCACGTTCCAATTCTGCCCAGCCCAGATTGTTGTTACACTTTGTCGCCACTTCCTCAGATGCGTCTAGGGCCTAGTCCACACGTAGCCGGGGTTTTTAAAAAAACGAATATCTGCCCCTCCAAAAACTTGCATCCACACCAGCTCGTTTATAAAAGCTCTGTCCACACGTACCCGGATAAATACGTTGTTAAGGACATGCCAGACCTGTAGGCGGCAGTACTTCCCCCGTTCTTAACCTCGTCCTTCGTCTGTGGTCTTCCGCAAGGAGCAGTAATTCCGCTTGCAAAAAAAAACAAGCAAAAAGCACTTGGACAATTGATAAAGCGAGCGCAGCTCTGAGGGCATCCATGCTGTCGGCTGAACACAGGTCGCACACGTGATGTCAGCATTTTTTTGTCGCGGAAAGTGACGTTGCGGACCTTAAAACTCCGGGTTTGTCTGTCCACACGCAGACACCCAAAACAGAGAAAACGCAGATCTTCACTTTGGCCGGAGTTTTTAAAAAGATCCGTTTTCATGTGAAAAAACTCCTTTTTCGTGTGGATGACAGGCCAAAACGTAGAAAAATATCTACGTTTTGGCAGATCCCCGGCTTCGTGTGGACAGGGCCTAGATCACCAGCTGGCATCAACCCGGTCCGGCCCGGCCGCCTCTCAGACTGCTGAAGGCACAGCCTTTTTATCCAGGTGTTGGTCATCAGCAGGATTCCGATCAGCTGTACTCCTCAGCAGCCTGGAAGAGAGGAGGAGGAAGGGCGGTGTCAGGCTGATCACCGGGGCTAGGTGATCCTGGCTCCTGCTTCCCAATGGCCAGGCTGGTAGCCGTAACAAATAAAATAATTAAATTTTTAATATTTTTTTTAATTTTCCCAGTCAGTTCATATTGTTTAGCATGAACATGCCCTGTTTTCCTGGGGGAGTTGCTACCAATGCTCACTGTGATATTTAATAGACTTAAATGCTGATTTTAGGGGAAGTATACCAAGTATTTAGTACAGAGTACCAGGATTAAGCAAAGTAACGGAATACATTACAAAATAAATTTTAAAGCAGGTATTCAGTATTCTGTAACTAAATACATTTACAAAGTATTCTCCCCAACACTGTCTAGCAGCAGTTTGGGTGTTTCTGTATGAAACCAAGTTTAAGAACGTCACAAGGGGAAACTTCCGTCAGTGTTTGTTGAACAACCACAATGCTGAGAAGAGTGGGGGTTGGGGGTGGTCGTGGAAGAAATTATTAAACGTACAAATCTAAATTCTGCAAAAGAGAGAGCTGCAACATATTTCAAAGTTTCTATCGTTTCACAGCAGCAAAACAAGGGTGTTTACAACTGTGTGTGAATTTTTTTATTTGTCTGCAAATGAGGTGTCTAAAACTGATGTAATGCAGTGGTAAGGTGTGACTTCATGTGAAGACTACTTTAAATGCTAATTCTTATTCACTGATTTTACTAGCAAACATTTACTGAACACAAATTCATGCATCTGTCTTTTCATAATGTCCACTCTGGAAATGACAGCAAGGCTCCACAGGAAGTGGTTGGAGGGTGAAGTTTAAGTCGTTCTCACTCTGGCCAATCAATCAAAATCAAAAATTTTAGTTTTACAGAGTTTAAAGATGAATATGATCCTAAGGTCTGAATAAAGAAATTGTGATACATATGAATGTTTTTGTCCAAATGGAAAAACAGAGTACAGTTATGTTGCAAAGCAATCAACTTCAGTGGTCTTGTGGTTTTGTCCCGTGATGCACAGAGGAGTTAAACACTCCTCTTCTTGTTAGCTCACACTCACACTGACGGTAAAATCCAACATGTGGACGCCTCTTCTAGCCCTGTGGCTCGTGTGTGTCTCTTCAGATGGTGAGTCTTTTATAAAACTAAGATGGGAATGTATGAGAGCAAAGAATCCATGCTTGCATATGGATAGTACATTTTGTCTTAGTTTCGGTTGACTTGGAATCCTTTTGAATTTATTGAATTCAACATTCCTCCAAAAGCAACTTTTTGTTGTTGTTTTTAACCACCTGGCCAAAGATAAAAATAATTATTTAACTGACTTTGTCGGTAAAAAAAGGCACATTATGTATCATTTTTAATATAATACAGTTATAAATATGACATTTCATCTGGAAACAGCGTTGAATAACCTGGTGAAAAGTTTCCCTAGACACAAACTACGATGTGGTTTAGACGTTTTACAAGAATACAATTACTGATCGCATCTTAGGATGTAAAATAACAAAGAACAAAGGAGGAAGAATACATTTTACTTGTAGCACCTTTTATAATGAACATCACCAGCTGCTTCACAGGCACAATAAAAAATAAATATACATAAATGACCGAATCCCCAGCAGGACAAGGAGCTATCAAGAAGGTATGGATCAACAGGAGGTCACACCAAAGCCAGCCTGAACAAGTGAGTCTTCAGCTGCTTTTTAAAGGAGACCACTGAGTCCACTGATCTCAGGCTCAGGAAGAGAGAGGTCCAGAGTCTGGGGGCCACAGCAGCAAATGATCTGTCACCTTTGGTCTTTAGCCTGGTGCTGCGCAACCAGTAGGCTTTGATCACTGGACCTCAGGGACCTGCTGGGGGTGTAGGGACTGAGAAGATCACCAATGTAAGATGGTGCTTGTCCATGTAAGGCCCTAAAGACCAGAACCAGGATCTTGAAATTAACCCTGAAGTTGACTGGCAGCCAGTGAAGCTGGAGGAGAAGCGGGGTGATGTGGGTGTGTTTGGAGGACTTGGTCAGAAGCCGAGCACAGGTATTCTGAACCACCTGTAGACGGTTCAGGGAGGCTCTGCTCAGACACGTGAAAAGAGAGTTACAGTAGTCTAAGCGTGAGGAGATGAAGGTGTGGATGATGGGACTCAGCTTGGCAATGTTCCTGAAATGACAGAAGGAAGAGCAAACATAATAAGCTTAATAATCACCTAAACTAAAATCAGTTTTATTTTTGAAGAATAATTATAGTTTGGAAACAATCTTCAAGATGTCCTGCATTAAAAATCAGTTAAACATTTCATTGTAAAGATAAGAACAACTAAAAAGTCTGTGCAAAGAGAACTACACAGTAAAAAAATATGTGAAATTTATATCAAAATGGTGTAAATACACAACAGAAAAGTACTGTGAACTGAAAAACACACATTTTCTGTTGTAATCACAGTAAATGTTTGAAAAATCTTAAACTATATGTTTATGTAATATTTACATTAATTTAACATTATGTGAAAATAACACATTTAGTGGTTAAAACAACAAACAGTGGTAATCAACACAGAAAACACTGTAATGCTTATAACAGAACAAGTTTTGACAAGATTACATTAAAATATTGTAAAAACTTTGAGAATACGGAGCTCTGTAAGTCGCTTTACAGGTTTAAACTGTACTTTTAACACAATTGATTAAATTATGCCAATTTTGATAACAGAAATATTTTCAGTAAAAATTTTTTATTTATAATTGCATCATGAAACTGAGAAGTTATCATGTGCTGCTGGGATCATGAGGGCATCAGGACAAATATCAAATTACTGTCCTGGTAAACATCTAATGGTTAGCTCAAATGGTAAGGTACCTGACTTATATGCAGGGGACCTGGGTTCAAATCCAGGCCAGGACAAATACCAACAACCAGAATTAGGTGAGACCCTTGGTGGAACGTCCTACCTCGTACCATGAAGTACAAACTACTGGCTGCGGTATCACTTAGCTAAATAAGCTTTGATCCAAGAAAGGGTTTATTTGTTAACTTTGCTATGCAAAATTAACAAATACTTTATGTAGATTTAACAGACTTTTAATGTGATTTCAATCACTGTAAGCGAATTTACAGTTTTTCTGTAAAGGTATTTGCAGCTGTGAAATCTACAGGAAGACTCTGGTAACCACAGCGGCCAGAGATTTCCTGTAAAAAATAAAAAATTTTTACAGTGTAGTTGGACTTGAACAGCTGTTTAGCTTAAAAACAAAAAACCCAACTTTTTTTAGTCTTATTTAACCCCCCCCCCCCCTCCCTCCCGAAAAAAAAGCTGGAATGATCAGGGAAGAAGAGCAGCGGACGCATCTCGTCTGTTGATCAGACGTGTTTCAGGTGATCTGGATGTACGAGAGATGGTGCAACCACTTCATGAGGTTGTAATGCCAGGATGTTGGGGGTTAAATGGTATGAAATGGATTCTCACAGTCCCGCTGAGATGTTTAAGTGGTTAGACGTTCTCATCACCGATAAAGATCTGTTCAAGTCTAGGTTGAGACTGTTTTCTGAGCTCGAGCCTTCTTGATGGTGGATGTTCAGCTCTGATCTACATTTAGGGCTCTGTTTTGTGTAAAATTGTGCATGAACTCTTTGTGTGTGTGTGTTGTTAAAGAGGGAAGGTGCTACTATCCGGTTGTTTTATTTCAGGTGCTTTGTGCCACAGATGTAAACTAGCCATCGGTGGTTAAATGGCCTCTGACCTTGTAGCAGTCGTTGTTCTTATGTGTGTGGCCCTTTCTGAATCAATTGAAACTAAAGAAAAACTGAAAACAAATCTCATGTCTAAATGAACGAATGTTTGGGTGCACAGGAGTAGCAGCGTTTATTTTAATTTCATTTATTTGCATTTCTTGCCAGAATACAACTGAGTTTTATAATTATTAATAGATGGACGGGCCGATGAACAGACGGGTGGATGGAGACAGGGATTAAAACAGTTATAATGGATGAGTGATGAGTGGTTGAACGACGTGTTTTTTTTAAATGTATTTAAGGTTTCTGAAATAATCCTTGTGGCTCACTCCATGCAGGTTGGCGGTCCAATGTTGATCCAATCCAGATGGAGGACTGTGAAGCACAGTCACTCATGGCTCAGCTTGGCTCTTCTGTCTTATTACCATGTCTCTTTACAACGAAAGGCTTCGACTGGGTCACCTGGGCTCATGTGCATGAGCTGGACCTGGACACGGTCCAGGGCCTGGTTGGTCTTTCAACTGAAGGGCGAGTTAAGTTCCTGGACCCCAGACATGGTCGAGTGAAAACCTTTCCTAACCAGGCCTCAGTGGGGAACTTCTCCATCTGCATCGATGAGCTGAGAGAGCCTGATTTTGGTTTTTACATCTGCAAGAAGGAGAATAAATGTGTCTCAGTGAAGCTGCATGCAGACAAAGGTTTGTCAGTTCTACCAGCGCCTCTGTTTAATATGATGTTGGCATTTTTATTGTTTGCAATAAAGCGATTCAGTCACTGGAATACATATCATGGCAGTCCAGGTGTATTTTTGCTGTATGTTAACCAACGTTCCAAACGTTCTCTCGTTTGTTTTATTCAGGTGAGCAGTTTTATGAAGAACCAAATGAGAAGGATTCCTGTGAAACACGCTCACTCGTGGCTCCTCTCGGCCCCTCTGTGATCTTACCTTGCACCTTTTTAACAAATAGCTTAAACTGGGTGCCCTGGGTCCACAATAGGACTGTCCTAGTTAATCTTGCATCTAACGGACGTGTTATGTTCCTGGACCCCAGACACGGTCGACTGAAGGCCTTTCTAAACCAGGCCTCAGTGGGGAATGTCTCCATCTGCATTGATGAGTTAAACGACTCTGATCTGGGATCTTACATCTGCGAGCAGGAGAATAAATGTTTTAAACTGGATTTACTCGACATAAGTATGTTGCACTCCAGTGTTTAGGTTTTAGTGTTTAGCCTGTGTAGAGGCATGCTGTCGCTTCCTTTCTGGGGTCACAAACCTCAAAGGTCTAAAAAATGAGAGCGGACAAATGAATCAGCTACTGTTTCCTGTTAAACATCTCTCTGAAACCACCACTTGCTGTGCAGGTACACTACATGCAAATGTGTGGTCGCTGATTTCCATCTGTGTTGGTGTGGCCGCGCTCATCCTGCTGTGTCTTTTTGGCTACTGCTGCTATGAAAGTGAGTCCACGGACACCTTCACTGTCAGCAAAGACGGATTATGTAGAGGGCTGCTTTAGACATTCAGCTCTCTTTGTGCTGCTTTTCAGGCCTGCGCAACAAAAGAAGTCAGGACGACGCAAACAACACTGGTAATAAAAGTAAAGAGATATCTGAAGGTGACGGTAAATGTTTTTGGTACACACCAGAGCTGAGGAACATGAAGATCAAGCTTTAAATTACACACACTGATCATTTGAAATTATGAGGAACACCTGATCTGCAGAGGTAACACGGAGCCACACAGAGACAAACGACAACACACACACCCAATCGCCAATAACCTAACGGGCCTGTTTCTGAGTCTATGGGAGAAATCTGGAGTACAGCCCTTACATGCATGTGGAGAAAATCCTTCATAATCTGCCTTGTCTTTGCAGCTGCACCTATGGCACCATGCAGCTCCGGTAGGTCACATTGGAGACTATCTAAATTTGTCTTAGGCCTTGTTCACTGGTCAGGATTTTAAAAATACCAGATAATTTTTAAAACAAAAGTAGTTGTAAAAAAATCACTTATAAATCAAGGACATTCCCGGATTAAACAGGAACACTTGCAAACAAACATGGAGGAGGAGGATTTGGAATCCCTTTGCTCCGTGCAGCATGCTTTCAGCTCCTTGCTTTCTAGCTGACGGCATGTCACACTCAACAGGCGGCACACTTGTTTGTCCACGATGTCAACATGGCAATCCAACATGTTGAGTATCCTCATTTTTTGTAAGGAGTGATCCCGTCCTGATGTGCTTCTAGGTGGACCAGAGGGCTCTTAACACCCGCACATAGCAGGAATATCTGATAAAACAGTTTTAGCGTCATTACGGTAATTAAACACATCCATAAGCCTGAGAGAAGAAGTGAATCGGGTCAAAGATAGGCATAACCCTCTTGATGTGTGAACTGGGCCTAAGTAGTTGCATAGATATATTATTTAATGTGTTACACAAAGTAAAAACTTTTCTTTAATTGATGTCCACTTTCATCAAGGCCTACAGACATTTATAGCCAACATGCATATAATAGAAAAGTCAAAAATGTTGGAAAATCATTGACATGGAGGAAACTAGAAGCAGATGCGTAATGAAGAACTTAAAGCATCAAAGCTAATTACAGCTAAATGTGTTAGAATGGTGAATTTGAACACACAGCTGATAGGTAAGAACCAGGTGAATCAACAGATCCAGCAGCTGGAAACTTTATTTTGGAGTTTTATTAAAATGATCTAATTAGTTTACATGTAAGGGGTGGGGCTTAAATTTACACTGCAGCCAGCCATCAGGGGGAATGGGTCCTTCTCTGTTATTTTCAGATATCTAGTTTCTATTTCCGTTCAAATCATTAACATGATAATATGATCCAACAGCAATGTGAGGAATAAATTTCACAAACTTTCAAATTCATCTGCTGATGATGAAAGTAAGAGATTTTGTAATGTGTGGTTCTGCCGCAGGTCCCAGTGCTCCACCGCAGGAACAAGGTCATGAGCACCACATGGGTAAATCACACAGATCTTCAAGCTTTTTATCAACAGTATCTGAAACTGGATAATAGTGTTTTGCTTTATTCTATTTGTGTGAAGCAAATGTGTCACTAAATCTGTCTGCTTCCTTTTCCCTGTAGGGGCAGACGATAATAGTCTTGTTTATGGTGCGTTCACACATCTCTGCTTCCTCTGCCCTTCATCGGGCTTCAGTGTTGTATTTTATTTCATCTGGCCAATGAAAATAAAAAAAACACACATAACCATATCAACATGTATTAAACGTTTTGCCATCAACAGAAAATGATGACCAGTACATGGTCACCAGGGACCCAACCAGAAACCAGTCTGCTCCAGCAGGAATTCTGCAGCATTCCAGTGGAGCTCAGTCCAACCAAAGCAACGTCGGGATTTATCCAAACATAGAAGAATTCAAATTTGAAAGGGTGGAAAGTCAGAGAACAAGGAGATTCCATATAGGTGCTTCACTGATATTTACAGCATTTGTTCCCACTGGTCATTTCTGATCTAACTGTTATTTCATGGCTTTAGAGCTCATTAGCAGGTTACGGCAAGCAAGTCTAAGTCGACATTTTTATGGTAATGTGAAAACCTGCATCACATCCTCTAGACTGCGGCGGGTGTATTACTCCTCTGTTTTTATTGTGCAGCCAACCAGCAAGAGATCAACAAGCAACAAGCCATGGCGCCCCGCTCAGAGAATCAAAGAGGTAGATCACTGATTTTATTATCAACAATCAAACATTTTAATAGTATTTCTCCTTGGACCAGAACCAGAGCCGGGAGACCTGGGGATGGACTGTCCAATCTCGGGGGCAGAAGTTGCTGAGGTAGTCAAACAACTACACAGCGGCGGAGCACCGGGGGCGGATGAGATTCGTCCTGGGTATCTCAAGGCTATGGATGTTGTATGGCTGTCATGGTTGACACATCTCTGCAACATTGCGTGGTCATCGGGGGCAGTTCCTGTGGAGTGGTAGACCGGGGTGGTGGTCCCCATCTTTAAGAAGGGTGACCTGAGGGTGTGTTCCAGCTATAGGGGGATCACACTCCTCAGCCTTCCTGGAAAGGTCTACTCCAAGGTACTGGAGAGGAGGGTCCGATCGATAGTTGAATCTCAGACTGAGGAGGAGCAATGTGGTTTTCGTCCTGGCCGTGGAACTGTGGACCAGCTCTATACCCTTGCAAGGGTGATGGAGGGGGCATGGGAGTTTACCCAACCAATCCACATGTGTTTTGAGGATTTGGAGAAGGCTTATGACCGTGTCCCCAGGGGCACCCTGTGGAGGACGCTCCAGGAGTATGGGGTGGGTGGCTTTCTGTTAAGGGCCATTCAGTCCCTTTACCAGAGGAGCGTGAGTTTGGTCCGCATAGCCAGTAGTAAGTCGGACCTGTTCCCGGTGAGGGTTGGACTCCGCCAGGGCTGCCCTTTGTCACCGGTTCTGTTCATAACCTTTATGGACAGAATTTCTAGGCGCAGCCGTGGTGTGGAGTGTGTCGAGTTTGGTGGCAGGAGAATCTCGACTCTGCTTTTTGCGGATGATGTGGTCCTCCTAGCTTCATCCAGCTCTGACCATCAGCTCTTGCTGGGTAGGTTTGCGGCCGAGTGTGAAGCAGCTGGGATGAGGATCAGCACCTCCAAATCTGAGACCATGGTTCTCGACCGGAAAAGGGTGGCTTGCCAACTCTGGGTCAGGGGAGAGGTCCTACCTCAAGTGGAGGAGTTTAAGTATTTCGGGGTCTTGTTCACCAGTGAGGGTAGGAGGGATCGGGAGATCAACAGGTGGATTGGATCAGCGTCTGCAGTGATGCGGACGCTGAGCCGATCTGTCGTGGTGAAGAGGGAGCTGAGCCAAGAAGCCAGGCTCTCGATTTACCAGTCGATCTACGTCCCAATCCTCACCTATGGTTATGAGCTTTGGGTAATGACCAAAAGAACAAGATCGCGGATACAAGCGGCCGAAATGAGTTTCCTCCGTAGGGTGGCCGGGCTCAGCTTTACCCCCAAATTCCACTACCTCCGCTCCGCTCCGCTCCGGTCCGCCCCCGCCTTCTGCAGCCGCTCGCTTCCGAACTCAATTTTTACTGGTACCCGCTCTACAACGGCTCCGCTCCGGTGCGGAGACCTGAGGTACGCAAACAAGCATGTGCGGGATTTTCGAGATCTTGCGATACAGTCCGAGCAATAAACACGGAAGTTAGATCCAAACACCCGTTGTGTGGGAGAAGCATCGAAATGAACTGTTTAATCTGTCCATCATTTGTGTTGAGAGATCAGCAGTGTTTGGATCAACAAAGTGTGACTACTTTAATAGTGGAAACTGTATTTATGGCTTACTTTTGTGCATTTAAAGTTCAGCCGCCATTGATAGTTGTTAAAAGTTGTTAAACCTGTGCATATGAAACAAAAAACGCCTTTTGTTTATCGATTTATTGTGAAAAATGGAAGTTGTGCTTGCTCCTTTTCCTGTTGGGCCGTTGTGATTTCTTTCCATTTACTGCGGAGGTGCTCCGCCGTCCGGCAAAAATAGGATCGATTCTATTTTTGCCGGACGCCGGAACAGAGGGCGGCGCACGGCGCCGCACTGCCGGAGCACGGCCGCAGTAGTGGAATTGCTCTGACTGACTACAACGGGACCGATTTTGCTCCGGCGTTCGTGTCGGAGCGGAGGTAGTGGAATTTGGGGGTAAGAGATAGGGTGAGGAGCTCGGACATTCGGGAGGGACTCGGAGTAGAACCGCTGCTCCTCCGGATTGAAAGGAGTCAGTTGAGGTGGTTTGGGCATCTGGTCAGGATGCCTCCTGGACGCCTCCCTAGGGAGGTGTTTCGGGCATGTCCTGCCGGCAGGAGGCCCTCGGGTCGACCCAGGACACGTTGGAGAGGTTACATCTCCAATCTGGTCCGGAAACGCCTTGGGGTCCTGCTGGAGGAGCTGGTGGAGGTGGCTGGGGAGAGGACGGTGTGGAGCTCCCTAGTTGGGATGCTGCCCCCACGACCCGGACCCGGATAAGCAGAGGAAGACGATAACGACAAACATTTTAATTGTCCAAAAATCTAAGATTCACTGATGTTTTTGTTTTCTTTACAGCCCGGAAAGCCAAAAACAGTGAGTGTTGACTTCATCTGTGGCGTTTGCGATGAACTGACATTGGACTGAATTTCTCCCACTTTTCAGCTGTTCCTGCCTCCGATGGCGACTACCAGAACCCCATTTACAACAGGAGCATGGACTAGCTCAACCGACTGTAGATGTTCAAGTTGTACAAAGACGGACACTGACTCCTTTTTTAAGTTGAATGCATTGTTTTTCACTGTGGACGGCACATCTGTCACTGCTTTTCTTTCAAATAAAACAACTCCATAAGTACCTCCCTCTTTCTTCATTTATGATTCTGTGTGATCACGTCAGTGGGAACGAAAGAGGGAGCATCTAACATCTTCTGCTCAAACTTTTCAACTGAAGTTCTCACATGATTCAGACTAAATATGAAAAGTAAAAATGTAAATTACACATAATCCCAAATAATTCTACTCTGGACTGGCAAGAAGCACATGGGACGGGTCAGATCAGTGACCTCGGCCACTTGTATTTAACTACCCCCTGCTCTAAATAAAATGCTTTTAACATGCAACGTTTCACCCATATGACAGGTTTGAGTCAAAATAGAAACCAACTAACTCTGTTCTACTTCCAGTTTCTGCTGACAACCGTCTCTTCAACTAAGTTTTAACCAGTTAAAGGAGACTCTACGAAAACCAAAGGTTGTGTTTGTTTATTTTATTTTATTTATTTTTTTGTCTTACTCTAGATTTCACTTATTAAGAGGAGTGGAATTACTCTGGGGACGATGTTTATCCCCTCCAAATTAAAAGCTTGACTGTGTTGTAGTGGTTGATACACCAATATGTTGCGGTGTGGAATATAAATTTAAGATAAATTAATAACCAAAAGTTTATTTATTAATCAGAAGATTCAGTGATTCTTTTCATTCGATAAGCTGGAAATACAACCCGCTTCTGTGTTTCATTTCAATAATGAGGCAAGTTTAAAAATGAAGAAATTTATTTACTAACAATTTTAAACTAAAAGATTTGAAGCAACAATTATAAAAACCTTCATGCTACAGTGTTTAGTGATGACTAAAAATGCAAGTCTGTATAAAGTTGACTAAAAAGAAAAGCATCAGTGCACCTCTGCACAGCACAGTAGATGTGACCACAGGACACACACACACACACCCTGGTTTACTTTCACTTCTTCACTTTTCATCTCCTGGATCTAATTAAAGTGGACGAGCAGCACCTGCTCACCCATCACACAGAGTCTCACCAACACACAGAATGAAAAGCATCAAAGCAGATGTAATAGTGGTGGTGCTCGTCTCTCTCTCGCTGCTTGTTCTGAAACGTGCGGCCTCGGGTGTATCAACACAAAGTCGTGTGACCTTTCACACCACTGCCAATAATAATACACTGATTTGTCATGATGACTTTATGTCTGTTTACATCCCAAAAGAACAATTTGTCAGTCTTCCATCCACCATTTTTGTTAAAGGTAAGTGGAGACAGTGTAATCAGAGTTTTGAAGTGCTTGTGGTTTTCTGTTTACGTGTCTGTGACCCAGATGATGGCCGTGGATACCATCAAGCTACAGCTATTGCAAAGCTTTGCCGCTACTTCCTCAAGGAAACTCGCTCTTTTATCATCTTAACAGTTGCTTCCTCCGGGTGTTTTGTCAAAACCCAAGTGAGTTTTTGCCTCTCGAATTTGAACTGAACATCATTTTCACACAATTAGTTTTCCACTGGATTGTGTTTAACAGAAATTTGGGAGAAGTCTTGCAGTAGCCATTGTGGCACCTGTGGAAAATGGCCCACCTAAAATCATTCAGACAATAAACCTGATCTGTAAAAGAGGTAAACATTTTCGCACTTTGTGTTGTGAATAAATACTATGATTATTTAAAATTCTTGTTTTTATTTCAGAACAGACCTCATCAAACCTCCCACAAGAGTCGAGGCAGGTTTTCTGCACCAAGAATGGGTTCAACATCACCATCCCCAGGGACGCCACGGTCCCACCGCTCGACCTGAACACGGTCTGGATCACGTACAACCAAAACCAACGCTGTCTCCCTCAAAAAAGATCCAACCAGGCTGTCATCTTCAGCTTTTCTTTCTCTGAATGTGGGACCCAGTCGATGGTAAATGTAATCGAACTATCCCACTCCTAAACAAGTCAGAATGAAGACATTCATTTGAGCGTGTCTGACCTGCAGATTACAGGTGGGAATATAACCTACTGGGTCGACATTAAGGCCAAACATGCTCAGACAGGGGTCATATTTCGGGAAACTCCATTCCAGTAAGAAAAATATAAAGATTAACTCAATTTTAAACCGGGTTAAAATAATTTTGGGTTTCTATCGCTTAATTTCTCCTTTTCAGTCTGAATGTACGATGTAGCTTTGCTCTGACTCAAATGACTCAGCTGAGCTTCCGAGTTCAGCAAAGGGAGTCTGATCCCTCACTTGCGCTGAAAAGTAAAGGGACACTGAGGACTGCAATGAGGTTTGCTAAAGGTCAGAGCTAGCCAACATTTTATTTATTTCATAAATTGATAATTTAATGTAATTGCGCATATCCAACAGAAAATCTTGGAAAATCGTTGTCAAGTTGGAGACTGATCACTGTCTTTTCTTCCAACAGAGTCCTCTTACAGATCATTTTATTCCTCTAGCAACCCTCCAGCAGTAACTGAGCTAGGCCAGCCAGTGTATGTGGAGGTGTTTGTGGTGAAACATGAAGATGAGGACTTGGTGTTGCTACTGTGGGACTGCTGGGCTACACCGTCTGAAAACCCACATGACCCTCTGAGATGGAACTTGCTTGTTCAAGGGTAAAACACTTGAAACTGAAAGGCAGTGCGTTTTTTTACACAAGGGAAAAAATCAACTGGAGTTGTTCTGCATCCATTTGAGGTGTCCATTTGCTGGTGACGACCAGGGAACAGTTGTGCTGCCGGTCTCCAGTAAGGAAATACCCAACCCATCCCTTCATAAATGGTTTGTAGTTAAGATGTTCTCTTTTGTGAAATCTCCAACATCTGAAAATCAGGTATGTGAAATTAAATTAAAAGCTGTACTGTCTGTGTCGTAAGTCTTGACCTAAACGTTTCACCTGTTCTGCTGCAGATATACTTCCACTGTGATATAGAAATCTGTAAAGGACCAAGGTGCATGCAAACCTGCAGCAATGGTAAGTGGGGAGTTTAGGTTTTATTTGAAATAACTAATGTTTTCTTAGCCAACCCAGCCATTGGCATGAAGAAAACTAAAATTGCCTGGAAGCAAATCATAGTAGGTTACTTAATCATAATTATCTATGTTTTCTGTTTCAGAAAAGCCTAAACTACAAAGGATCCTACCAGAGATGAGTCAAAACATTTTATCCAGCACAGTTTCAAAAGGACCTCTCCTGTATTTGCTGTAATAATAAAAGTCAGTAGTATGTAAATAGTAGAAGTTGTATAATTACAAACCTTTTGCTGTTAAGATACATGAAACTGTACTTTCCAGTGAGAAGATGCTGCATTCTTTTATTTAGAATCGAATTGGGGTATTTATTTGTAGGCATAATCAAAAGCAGCTTTGAGGACTTTTATTTTGGCAGGTCAGATTGTCACGTGGATGCAATTAGACCAATAGCAGAGGAGAACGAGTCAGTATGCGGAAGTGATCGAGGCACTGTGACGTTCCAATCGTTTGGCTCGATTTTTGTAAAGTTTAGTAGCTCCTGTGCCCGCCAATAAAGGTTAATCCGTGTTTCTAACACGTCGGGTAAACAACCGTGTGCTGTTGTCAGTTTTTAACTTGTTTGGTTCTGTTACTAACTCTGTTATGTCCGAAACGAGTCGAAAACCCAAGTACAGCGATTCTAAACATCTGCCGATCTACCGGTATAAAGCCAAACTGATTCAGGCTGTTGAAGAAAGCACTTTCCTCGTGGTCACCGGGGAGACCGGAAGTGGGAAAACAACGCAACTTCCACAGTACCTGTATGAAGCAGGTGAGCTGCAACCTACCTGCAAATAAGAGTACACAATAATATTGATCTCATACGTGCCAAGTCTCCTGCGGGTGTTGTCGGTGTTTTATTTTCCTTTTTCTGTTTGTAGGTTTTTCTAGAAATGGTAAAATAGGAGTCACCCAGCCCCGCCGGGTGGCTGCCATCACGGTGGCCCAGAGGGTAGCCCAGGAGATGGACTGCACTCTGGGAAAGGAGGTTGGATATCAAGTGCGCTTTGATGACTGCACGTGCCAGGTCAGAAACACGCGAGTCACTCGGTGTTGATTTAAAATGGGTTTGTGCTGACGTATAGACTTTGTCTGAGTCAGGACACGGTGGTGAAGTACATGACTGATGGCTGTCTGCTCCGAGAAGTCCTGGCAGATCCTGGACTCTCTCAGTACAGCGTTATAATACTGGACGAGGTTCATGAACGCAGCCTCAACACAGTAAGTTGTTGTACGTTATTCTAGTTTTCCTTATTTCTCTGTCTACTTACTTTGTTGTTGTTGTTGTTGTTTTCCCTCAACAGGACATTCTTCTTGGCTTGTTGAAGAACAATTTCTCCAACCCTTCAAAGGCCACCAAGGGCCGATCCTTCCCCCTCAAAGTGGTGGTGATGTCTGCCACCTTAGAAACGGACAAACTTTCAGCTTTCCTCAGCTGCTGTCCCGTCTTTGCCATCCCTGGGAGGGTGTTTCCTGTAGAGTGCACATTTGGATCAGCTGTCAAACCCAAAGATGTAGAAAGCACTGCTTATGTCAAAGAGGTAGTCTGTTTTTTTTTCCTTGTGTGGTTTCTGTCATCTGCACTCAGCCTTGTTTTCCCAAGATGGATTTCACACCGCTCTTCTTCACAGGTGGTTAAAGTGGCTCTGGATGTGCACACCAGTGAGCTGGCTGGGGATATTCTTGTATTTTTGACAGGTAAGTGGTGATTGCTGCAGATATTATCATGATCACATCTGTGTTTTGAATCTGCATCTTTTGTCTGACAGGCCAGTCAGAGATCGAGCGTGCCTGTGACCTGTTGTTTGAGAAAGCGGAGAGTATCGACTATCGCTATGATGTGCTCGACCAAACGGTGGAGGGCCTTCTCATTTTACCCCTTTATGGATCTATGCCCACTGGTAAAGGCCTACCACAGCTTTCAAGCATGTGAAGATTTACTGTACTAGGATAAGGTATGTGCATGTGACACTGTTGTTATTTGCCTTTCCAGATCAACAGAGACGGATTTTTCAGCCTCCCCCTCCAGGCATAAGAAAGTGTGTCGTAGCCACAAACATTGCAGCAACATCTTTAACCATCAATGGGATAAAGTGAGTGAAGCCTCCTGTGCTGCTGGTGAAACTTTGATATAATCTGAAACAAGTTCCTGAAACGTTTATTAAAAAGTCCCAGTTGTTCTTTAGTTTAAAGAGAATTAAATTACACCAGAAAATCTCGTGTGTGTTTGAGGTGTTTTATGTGCAGTTGGAGATGCAGACTCCCCCTCTAATAAGGCCTAGTCAGGACACCCTAGTTTGATTGGGGGTGGTCAGAGGGACCGGTGTGATGGTTTAAAAATTCATTGGTATAACCGTTTTGGTCCTGCAGTGTGTGGTGTGAGGTCTCTAAGACTTGAGTAGAGAGGAAATTTTGCTAAACATTGTGAAATCAAACGTGACTCGGACATGACGGAAACACGACCCAAACATGGAGCATGCAGCGTAAGTCCATTGCCTTGTTTTCAGTCCAACACTTTTAAAATCCCTGATTAATGATCGAAGTGACGTGCTTCTGAGCAGACCAGAGCCCCTTTAACACACCACACATGACAGGGATATCTGTTAAGATCATCTTTAGAGCTATTAACCGTAATCCGACCTGGTCTGAATGGTAGAATCGTTTCAAAGTTCAGCATAGTCTTGCTGTGGGAGTTTTGTTCATACACACAAACTGGAGCCTCCAGCACTGTCAGTACTACACACAAAGGGAACTCCATTCAACTAACATTTTAGAAAACCAAAGTTTTTCTTTTTTATATAATTTGAAGTTTTCACCTCGGACACATCTGCGTAGCACAAGCAGCTAGGTTGGTACACCTGCTAAGTGTGTGAAGCACCTTCTCCACCACCAATCAGCTGCTTTAATGTAGAATTTGACTGAACGTCCGTTTCTTTGGGCTGAAGTTTTAGATGCTAGAGTTAAATCTGTTGCTTAATACTGGCTTATAATATTCCAGCCTGGTTTGTGCTGAGCTCAGTAAAAGTTTACGTTTGTACTTGGAGCTTGTCCTAATGTGATTGCTGAGCTAAAAAAGAACAAAAACAAAGTCTGAGTTAGTATTTTAGTGCATGTTTAATGTGCTTGTGTACAAGCTTAATTATGGGGCGACGGTGGCACAGGAGTTAAGTGCTCGCCCCGTAATCAGAAGGTTGCAGGTTCGAGCCCCGCTCAGTCTGTCGCTGTCGTTGTGTCCTTGGGCAAGACACTTAACCCACGTTGCCTGCTGGGGGTGGTCGGAGGGACCGGTGGCGCCAGTACTCGGCAGCCTTGCCTCTGTCAGTGCGCCCCAGGGCAGCTGTGGCTACATTGTAGCTCATCCCCACCAGTGTGTGAATGAGTGTGTGACTGGGTGAATGACTGATTGTGCTGTAAAGCACCTTGGGGGGTTCCATGACTCTAGAAGGCGCTATATCAAACACAGGCCATTACATTATGTTTTAGGTGGGATTGCCTGTCAGAGCAAGTCTCATCCATCTCAATAAATGGAGGGATTGACTTTAGACTCATGCTACCAAGCAGAAAACGGAAAAATATTTGAACACTTTCTTTCTTGGCACAACAAAGTAACTGTGTCTTGTTGCAGGTATATCGTCGACAGTGGTTTTGTGAAGCAGCTCAACCATAACTCACGGGTGGGCATGGACGTGCTGGAGGTTGTACCAATCTCAAAGTGAGTGTTGGGAAACCGCCGTGCATCCAGGAAAGCTCGCCGGCGGTGGGATGAATGTGTGGATTTTCTGTCAACAGGAGTGAAGCTGAGCAGAGGGCGGGCCGAGCAGGAAGAACCTCCTCTGGCAAGTGTTTCCGAATTTATACCAAGGAATTCTGGGAAAAGTGCATGCCTGAGTATACAGTACCAGAGATCCAGAGGACGAGTCTGACTGCAGTGATCCTCACTCTCAAGTGTCTCGGCATTCACGATGTTATCAGGTACGACACCATTTGCAGTTTTTATTTAAAGTGAATAAATTATTCATGAGGTCGTTTTTGTTAAGGTTTCCTTATCTGGACCGTCCAGAGGAGAGGTTTATTCTAGAGGCGCTGAAACAGCTCTACCAGTTTGATGCCATAGACAGGTGAGTGCTACAGAACACCCAGACTCAGGATCTCGGAGCAGAACAGCAGCAGATGAAGTGGCGAACATTACCTGAGGTCTTTTGTGTGTGCTGTAGGAGAGGCAGAGTGACTAAACTCGGGGAGCTGATGGTGGAGTTCCCTTTACACCCGGGTCTCACCAGGGCTTTGCTCAAAGCTGCTTCGGTTGGGTGTGAGGAGCTGCTGCTTCCTGTGGCGGCCATGCTGTCTGTGGAGAACATCTTCATTAGGCCGGGTCAGCATCAAATCTGAACTAGTGTTGGGGATAACAGTTACTGAACACATCCATGTTATGTGTTGCTTTATTTACCTGTTGTTGTTGGTTTTAGAAACAATATTCACAACAGTGGGAAATTTGGGAAAGAAGCACAAAGTTTTTTCATTTACTGAAGTCTTTGTTCCCTGTAGGTGATCCTGACAACCAGAAGGAGGCAGATAAGAAGCACAGAGCTCTGGCAGCAAAGACCGGTGGGATGAATGACTTTGCAACACTCCTCAGTGTGTTTCAGTCCTGCAAATCCAGGTGAGGAAACTACTCATTACAGTCATTTACAAAGTGAATTGTGGCGTGTGGTGAAGGTGTTTTTTCATTGCAGTGACCGACCATCCGCATGGTGTAAGGATAACTGGATCCACTGGAGGGCGCTAAAGTCTGCTTTCAGTGTGGAGACTCAGCTTAGAGAGATCCTCCTCCGCCTCCAGCAGGTTCAGCATGTTGCTTATTAACTGTCTAATATCACAACTGCAGTGTTCAATTCCTGCTAGGTTTAATAATTAACTTTCCCTTCCAGAGGAAAGATTTCCCTGTTGAAACATTTGACGGCAATAAAAGCGAGCTCTTCAGACGATGCCTGTGTGCCGGATACTTCACCAATGTTGCCAGAAGGTATAGATGATATATGGTATTCAGAGCCGTTAGTGATCATTAGGTATCAAGGAGATATGTTTTGCTAATTCTGAGTTGTTTTTCTTCTACCCTGCACAGTTCTGTCGGAAAGGTGTTTTGCACAATGGATGGTCATGGATCTATGGTTCACATTCATCCATCATCATCTGTAAGCTCGTGTGTACCAAATGCTGACATGTTTGCTTAAAAAAACCCTCTGAGCTTATTTTGTTGTGGTTTCAAGCTGTTTGAGCAGGAAGTAGATCTGAACTGGGTCATCTTCCACGATGTGCTGGTGACCTCGCGGATCTACATCAGGACAGTGTGTCCAATTCGATATGAGTGGGTAAAGGATTTATTACCAAAACTCCATGAAGTGGATGTTTACGAGCTGAGTAGTGTGGCAAGAGAAGAAGTCACTGATGAGGAGATGATGAAATGGGAGACCAGAGAGGCTGCCAAAAGACAACAAGGTGATTTAGAGAAACGATAAACAGTTATGTCCCTGCCATCTGTTTGTTAGTATTAAAAAGGTTTTTAAATCATTTTTAACTAAATGACATCTGGTCAAACCAAATTAGCCCGGTAAAATAAATCTGAATGGGCACAGTCATTAGTTTCCAATTTGATTGGTAATAAAAATAAAGTTCTTGTTTCTACAAGACAATTTAATAAATATTCAGTGGTCAGTCACAAACAGATGCAGCTTACTTTTCTAAAGCAAACAATACTTTAAATTAAATTAGTGATGCACCGATTTTGGCCGATACCGATATCTGATATAAAGATCACTGTTATGGCCGATAACTGATATTCGCCGATACGATATACTGACATTAATGCTTCGAAAATCAGCAGATTTTGTATAGAATGAAAATTATTAAAGCTGAATTTGTTATGTACACACAACACACACACTTCTGGTTCTGAGACGATTTCATTCACTGTTCACCTGACTAAACAATTACACATCACCCCCCTCACCCTCTGAAACAGGCGAACAAATGGAGATGAGATGGAAAAAATGTTGTATTGGCTCGGTGTTATTTGTTGAACCGATACCAATATGTTAAAATGACTAACATCAGCCGATACGGATGCCGATATATTGTCCATCCCTAGATTAAATGTCTGATTTCTCTTCTTTCCTCAGAAGTGTCTACTGTCGACGTTGTGAAGAAACTGGAGAGGCGAAACGATGAGACCTCTGTGAGCGATGCTCGAGCTCGCTACCTGCAGCGAAAGCAACAGAGACAACAAAACAAAGCACTTTGATTGAAACAACTCTGATTTTGTGTATATGATTGGTAGACATAAACATGTCTTTGTTTTTTTTATTCTTTGAATAAACGCCTACATTTAACATTGCACGTGTCTTCTAAAGAGTCTGACGTGAATTACAGCTTGTTTTTAGTTCAGCTTGTTGGGAGATAAATGTTATATATTATATTGGGTGTTCTATATATTCATTCCTCAGATTAAGCCTACTTTTTCCATTTGTGCCTTGGTGTAGTTGAGTTATGAGATTAAGGTCGCTGCATGGTACTTGGTGTACTTTCACACCGACCGCTCAGGTACAGTGGACCCTCTGCTCCGCTCTGACGTCACTTCCTATTGTTGCTGTTGTAGTGACAGAGACGGAGGGCTTCCATGCTAAGCAGCGAATAACCACATTAAAGCCTTACGGAGGCGGCTCGTTACCTATCCAAGGGGTTGAACTCGTCTTTAGTCGTCTAAACAACAGTTTTCACCTCAGTGGACTTGATTATGCGGTCTGCCTGATTCTGTAAAGCACTTGCTGCAGAAACTGACCAAGCACGCCGACGCCGCTGAGCTGAGCTGCTGCTGTTGTGAGAGAAGAAAAACAAGCTCGGCGAGCAGAGTGCTAAGCTGTGTGTGATCATTGACAGAGTTCAATACACACAAGCCTCGAGTGATAACTGGTAGGAGCGTTGTGTTGCGTGGCTCCAAGGTTCTCTAAGAAACAACGGCTGGGAGTATTTTGACCTCAGAAGTCGAGGTAAGATCATCCGGAGTAATGAAAACTAGCGCAGGTGGCTAGCCATGATGCTAACTAGCTGTTAGCTTAAAATAGGTTTTGGCTCTCTGCCTAGTTTGATCTTAATGCTCTCATGGTCAGTGTCCTCGATGCTGCTCCACACGCCTCTTACCAATACATCTCACCGGCTTTAAGGTACTAAACGTGTGTTGGACACGTTATTGGCCATTCACAACGATTAGAAATGCTTTGGACTTGAAAGGTATTGTTTGTTGACTATCTCAGCCCGCTACCACATTTGCTGCGACGGTGTGGCTACTGAAATACAGTAGGCTGTCTGTGTTGGTGCTCGATATGACTCAACCATCCTTTATAACAAAAAAAGTTTTAAAACTAATAAATTGATAGCGAACTCTATTTTGTTGCATATTTGTAACATTTACAAATCTATTTATAGACGAGAATGACAGGAAATTTACTCCTGCAGCGCAAATATTTACCTTCGCCTGAGCAAAATACTTCACAATTTAGTCTAACTAACAGCATGTTGAAGTACATTAATACGAAACAAAGCAAAACCTATAAAATAAACTAATAAAATCAGATATAATGCTCTTATTTTGGTGGGTCTGAAACTACTGGAGTTGAGCAAAAGCAAAAAAGATGAGTGTTAAGCAGAGATTTGAACGTCTCAGCAGTCTTGATTAGTAAATATATTCAAGGCTAAAATACTCCAAAGATTTGGGGCAGATACTTAAAAGCTTGACTGCTTCTGTTGGAGTCTTGGACCATCTAAGAGAAAATCTGGTGTTTAGATGATCACCTTAAGACTAGGCTGGATCAATTCAAATTTAAAGCAAGCAGTAAAAAGTAAACCAATCTAAAAAGAAGGGAAGGGATACCAAGATGAGTTGATGCATTCTAAACAAACTGTAGATTACACAGAAAAGCCAGATCTCTTGACCAAGATACAGATCATTACAGTAAGTAAAAAAGTATAAGAAACATTTTCCAGGTCTTTGTCAGAGAGAGGAGGCTTCTCTTTAACAGCAACAGTGACTAGGAAAAAGCTTGATTTCAAAATCTGTTCATTCCAGTTTTTCAGGAGATGTCAAAAGCAGAGGTCCAGTAAGGAACTACAGGGCTAAATTACTGAGATTATTATATATTAAACAGCAGATTAATTCTGTTTTATAATCCACATCAAGTCAGGTTATTTTAAGCCAGGTTTCAGTTTTGCTTTAATGTTTCATAAGTTGTATAGTTTGGACTCATGCAGTCTAACCTACTCAGTAAATTTAGATACCAGTGTTGTAGTGGAATGAAATGTAGAATAATGAAATATTAAAGGTTTGGTTGACAAAAAAAACTGTTTTAATGATTATTTCTGATCATAATCGGTCACTCTGAGTTTTTCATGCAGGCTGAACATGAAAAAGTCTTTTACACCCATATCCTGCTTTAGTTTCTGATGAAAAATAGATGTTGAAAGCTAGAGTTTGAAAATCCTCACATATCTTACTGTGAATTTGCATTTGTGGCCATGCCCATCTTGGCGTGTGTCCGCCCACAAGGAGGGCTTTTAAATAAAACTTTTGCAGCGAGGAGAGATACCAGAGTGCTTTGGTGATAGTGAATTTGCATCATGACTGAATGCATTCTGTTAACCAATCAGAAGCGAGGTGTGTGCATGCATATCAATAATAAAAATTTGTTTTCAACCCACCTGTGCACCAGCAAACTTCTGCATCTCAGAACAGGAGCGTCAAAGCCTTTTCTTATTATTAACTCATTCACTGCCATTGACGACTAAAGTTGTCATTTTAAATCCAACCATTCACTGCCAATTACGTTTAAAGTTGTCATTTACATTTTATTTACTGTCAGTGCGTTTACATGCAGCCAGTAACCCTTTTAAAACCCGAATATTCACAATAACCCGGCTCCGCAGGTCCTTGTAAATACCGCCAAAAACCCGGATATGCTCATAACCCATTAAAAACCCGGTTACTACACCTGGGGTAACCCTTTTCTAACCCGAATGTTTGGTCGTGTAAACGTATATCGGGATATCCCCATCAAAGCGTGTGTTCTGCGCATGCTCTGTTCACAAGGAATCTTGGTCTTTTGAGTAGCGAGACGTCTTGTATGCGCCAGAACACCGGAAGTAAACAACAAGTTGGGAGCAACATGGCGAGTCGCGGCACAGCACCACACTTTGAGTGACGAGGAAACTAAAGCGCAAAGAAACGCGGTCGCTATCTCTTCCGAACTGGGAAACATGTTGTTGTTTTCACGGATACCGGAACAAGAAGAACCGGAAATGAGGCTTATTGCGTCTGGACATAGTCCATACGTCCTGACGCTACCCCAACGTCCGCATTTAAATCGGGTTATGCAAGTTAGAGGTAACTCTTTCTATTTATGCTTGTAAACGGGTTATTCTGATCCACTCAGAAACCCAAATCCCGACCTTAACCCGATCATAACTCGATATTGGCTGCATGTAAACGTAGTCTGTGTGAGCATCGGAACGAGCCCCCGCACCGTGAGAAACAACATCTCAGCTCCAAAGCCGATCTTCTTCTGCGTGCGTCACACGTCACGTGATCAGGAAGCAGAAAATCCATGTGTTAGGAGATCGTTTTGGGCCGCTGCTGTAAAAAAAGTGAGGTGCGAACCGGAAAAGCTTCTGCCGATCACAATTCAACAACAGATTATGAAAGAACAAATAACGCTTGAAGCGCGCAGATTCTTCCTGATGTAAGAGGTGAGTCTCCGCTTTGTTTTGGTTGTTTTGGCATCGTCATCATCCTAGCGCGCAACGTTCTGTGACTTAAAAAAACTGTAAAAATGGTGAGAAACGCTGGCAGCGAAGGGCTTTACTGATCAGTAAACGGCTGGCAGCGAATGAGTTAAATGGTACGAGGCATCGATTTACACAAGAGAACACTGCAAATGTATTAAATTAACGAGTAAACCACACCTCTAACAGAGGAAAATCGTGGACCCAGAATGCACCTTTGATGAATCCCACAACCGAGAGGGACTTTGGAAGAAAACTGTTAACCTAAGTGGGGTAAAAATTAATGTTTTTGAGGCTTTAATTGAAACAGCCTGGTTAGAACGTAACATCAGAATATTAAAATCCAAAGATTATGAGGTGCAGACAGGTCTAAAAGCACTAAAATAGGTTAGATCATAATACGACCATTGGGCCAAAATTCATGTTTATATAAGAAGTTTTTTTGATTGTTTTTCTCAAGTCGTTTATAGCGTTTATAAAATCGGTGTTTGTGAAGACAAAGTACGTTACAGTGAGGAGTTATTCTTTTTATTGTCTCAAAAAGCTATTAGCCGTTGCTATTAGTGCAGATAACTATAGATGGTAATAAAAAGTCTGAAGTCGAGAGAGGCCTTATCTGGTTTTATCTTGGTAAACAAAGCAGTTCAAACAGCCTTTGCGACTGTATGCTTCAAAAATATTCAACCCCATCATTTTAAGTGAAATGCTGTGAAATTCTGGTAAACCTATTATCTAACATAGGCTGTTGATTCAGGACTGACCCTGAATAACCAAGGCCTCCTCACAAACATTCAACAAAACCTGCAGGACACCAATAACAGAGCACGGCATTGCCAGTGTTCACTGGCACGGATCACAGGATTATTTTTCTATATGAAAGCAGTAAAAAAAAAAAAGTAACATGTGTTACTTTTGTATGTAAAGGAAGGGTGCTGGCTCCAAGGATGTGTGTAGGAGGGTTGCATTGTCTCCTTGACTGATCACAACCATATGCAGATTTCAGCAGGTTTTTTTTGTGGGGTTGTGTTACAACATTGTGATTTTCTTCTCAAGTGCTTTGCTCTGTAGCGATCATTCATATTTGTGTGAAAAGAAATTCCTTTCAGTTTATGTCTTCACCTCAGTGTGCCGTTGGCTGTAGATTTACTTCCTACTCTGGTCCTGCACGTTTGCCTGTCATTGATCCTCTGAATGCTAGTGAAACTCATCAGAAATTTTGCCTGCATGTTTAAAAGAAGAATAACATAGGCCTTGTATTAAAGCTGCTTTCCGGAGTATTCCCCTTTCAGAAGTGATGTATGATTTTTCAAAAATCCATAAAAGTGATCATCTTATCATGTACTGTGATAAAATGTAAACAATACGTCTTTTTTTTTTGTTGTTTTTGCTAAGCACACCCCCTGCTCCGGAGAGCTCCATGCAATAGGAAACTGAGCGCCGACCAGAACTAACCAATAGCGTTACCCCGGGTTTCCATGGGAGCCGTCAGCAGCACGTTACTGCAGCAGCACGTCTTGCTCGCGTAAGCTGCTGCTTGGCCCTTCCCACGAGATGCGAAGCAGCAGGAGAGCAGCTGTCACCGACAGAGCACGAAGTACACGAGTGACTTCGTCAGTAAACACAACAACAAACAGGAGAAAACTACAACATGGTTTGTGTTTTATGTTCTGTCCGTTTTATAATCGCCAATACGGACCTGAAAAACAAAGGAGACCACTAGCTAGGTGGTAACTTCTCACAGGGCTGCACAGTTAGTAACCTTTTTTAAAGTAAAGCAACCGGAAGGCAGTACGTTCTTTATTCTGAAAATCTTGGGAGCTTCTCTCTATTTCCGCGTCCGATTTCCTCTTTCCTTCCCCAAAAATGTCGAACTTGACCCGTTTCAGAGGCGTCGCGCATAGAAAATAGAACCGGCTGCTCCTGAGACGCGGCCGACTCGCGCTGCTGACAGCTCCAGTAGAAAAGGTTCTGTTGACCACAGCGGTTCCTATCAGCAGCTATGACGTGCTGCTGCAGTAACGTGCTGCTGACGGCTCCTGTGGAAAGCCGGGGTTAGACTACAGCTTACGTGCTTCAAATTTAAGGAATACCTCGGCTGATGCGGAGTTGATGAACTTTTCACGGACAAGTAAGTCTCTAAAATATAAATATATGAGAACACAACATGACATGACACTCGTAAAGCAACGTGTTTTAGCTCTGTTTGTCGGCTACAGAATTGCATAAATAAACAGAAATGTGAAGTCGCGATCTTAAACAAACAAAGCAACAGATTGTTTGTGTGATATGCTTGTCAGCCACTAGATGGTGCCATCGGATAAGAGAAATACTCCGGAAAGTAGCTTTAAGGATGCACAGAAAATTTGGCCACCAAAAATTTTCAGCCAAAAGTACGTTTTCGGTTTTTGTCTGAAACACCAAAATCACTGAAACAGACCTTTTGGTTTCACATCTACCACGTCTGCCCGGTGCTTTTTATTTATTTTTTCCTTTTTCTTTTACATTCTCGCTACATCTGTCACTATTAGCTGTGTTTTTACCTACCCTTCTACACCAAACATGTCCTGGACAAAGTGAAATAAGCTCTGGATCATGTGTGATCCACATGAAGCACACATACTGCCGCTGCACTCTGCTGCAGCGTCTCTTTCTTCCTCATTGGACGAGTGAATATCTTCATCAGAGGACGAATATCCCTCATCAGAGTCAGGCTTTAATAGTCAAAGAGCTTTGTCAACAGTGAACAGACCTGTCAGCATTGTGAGTTTGTCCTCTAATAAATAATAAAAACCCGCCCTCCGTGAGCTCTGCTCGTCTCCTCTCGTCAGTTGGGAGCCTCCAGATGATGATAATCTTCTAGTGTAAAGTCATAACACTAATGAGGGGTTATATTTCAAGCTGTGGCTCATTAAACACAGTATTGCTACTTTGATGCTTAAAGGGTTAATTTTACGGTCCTTCTAATTCTGGTCCCCCACGATCGGAAGGTCATGGGTTCGATTCCAGCTCCTGCCTGGGGTATTCTGCTGTTGTGTCCTTGGGCAAGACACTTCACCCAACTTGTCTGTGTTGGTGTTGGTCTGAGGGGCAGACGGCACCAAATGGCAGCCTGGCCTCTGTCAGACCGCCCCAGGGCGGCTGTGGCTACAAAAGTAGCTTACCATCACTGGCAGTGTGTGAATGTGAGTGTGTGTGAAAGCATCTTTGAGTGTCCTAAAAAAGTGCTATATAAGTTCAATGCATTATTATTATTATTATTCTATGTTTTTAATTATTGACTGAATTTCTTTCGGTGTTTTGGTTTTCTCTCTTGGTGTCCTCATTTTTTTGGTTTTCGTTTTCGGACAAGAATTTTCACTTGGTGCATCCCTACCATACACGTAGCCGGGTTTTAGTAAAACCAAATATCGACAAAGGACTTGGGTCCACGCCACCTCGTTCCCAATTAAAATATCCAGTGCATTGTGGAGGACATTCAAAAGCATGCCAAGCCTGTAGGTGGCAGTAGTTCCTTTAGTACAGGAATGTCTAAACTTTTCATGACAAGGGCCCAAAAAAGTCATGTTTTAAGTCAATGGGGGCCTCAAGAATGTGATTTTCTTAATTTAAAAAGTGCAAACATTATTTTATATAATTTTTTAAATTTGTACTCTTCAAAAAAATCCAAAATAGGCTTATAAGTAAACATCTGAACATAAACATGTTAGAAAGTGGCGATCTATATCAACATCCTATTGAAGAGACAAAAATCACCATTTTAGAAATTTAAGTGGGGGCCGTACAAAATTGCTCAGTGGGCCAGAAATGGCCCCCGGGCCACACTTTGGACATGCCTGCTTTAGCAGTTCTTTGGCGGCTCTGGTATTCCTTAGACGTAGTGGTGAGCAAAACCGTTGTTAACGTCATCCTTCACCTGTGGTTTTCTACTTAGAGCATTAATGAAACAAGAAAGCGTTAACACAGGTCAGACATATGACATCAGAGCGTTTATGACGCAGGAAGTGACGTTATAAAACCTAAAACCCTGTTGTTGTTTTTTCACGTCCACAAGCAAATGCTGACGATGGAGAAATCACAGCTGTCCACTTTGGTCGGCGGTTTTAAAAAGAATAGTTACGTTTGCGTGGGTGATGGGTCTAACCGTAAAACATTTCTTCTTTTAGAGGGAACCCGTCTACGCCTGTACAGGGTCATTGAGCTCTATACATTTGCTATTACTGTTTTTCTGAATTTCACAACATTCAAGACTCTGTGACTTATTTTACCCAAATTAATACTCCCAGTATTTAACCATGATTATGTTCTTTTCTTCTCCTCCTCCAGGTATTACACACTAAAGGTTTTTATTTGAGTCAGAGACTTGAAGCACAGTGTCCACAGTTTCCATCGGCTTGTCTGCAGCCCCCTACCTACCCCAACAGTTTTCTGCCCCAGCATGAATGAAGTCAGTGTTGTTAGAGAGGGATGGCTCCAAAAGAGAGGTGAGGGTCTCTTTGTATTCACCAACCCTCATGTGATTTTGTAGCTAAGATCTACGTGGAATAAAATATTGAATACGTTAATATCTCTGCTACAGATGTGAATTATTCAAACTGATGAAGAACATTGGCTTAATTCAGTCACTCTCAGTTGGTCATCTGTTTATAATCTTGTGGTACAGAGAGGCTTAGTCATCCACAGGGAAGTGGTCAAACATTAAAACAGCCTCTCATCTGTCCACATCTAGGTGAATACATCAAAACATGGCGGCCGCGTTACTTCATCCTGAAGAGTGACGGATCGTTTATCGGATATAAAGACAAGCCTGAAGTGTCCATTGATCCCAGCCAACCACCGCTCAACAACTTCTCTGTTGCAGGTACGTTTTTCACAGAGTTGCATGCTAGGCTTTCTCCATTGGGTCTGTTGCTCATGGTTGAGTCTGTGGTTTATAGAATGTCAGTTGATGAAGACGGAACGCCCCAGGCCCAACACGTTTGTCATCCGATGTCTCCAGTGGACCTCGGTTATTGAGCGAACCTTTCACGTAGACAGCAAGGAGGAGAGGTAAAATCTGATTTTCTATGGGTTAGAATTATCGGAATTTTAAATGACTTATTTTTAGTGTCACAAACATGATCCATGGGAAATATGTGTAGTAAGGAATGATTTTGTGTAGCTGATCATTAGAAACCAGGAATTCAGTGTTGATGTCAGCTTTTTTAAACCTGACAAACAAATAATGCAACTGTGGCCAGAGTTATACTTGGCCTTATATATACATACATATATATATATATATAAAAACACACCTAACTTCTGGCCTGTTTAGGGTGAGAATCAAATATTTTTGCTACATTCAGTCATTAGTTTGAAACAGAGACACCAGCTAATTAAACTTGATCTTCTACTTGATTGACCACATGAAGCAAACATGGAAACGCCACTGAAAAAGCAGAAAGAGCTACTACAGCAGCTCATAGACAAACAGGAAGTGTGTGTGTGAACAGTTGCACCAAGCAGTCTGCTAGGGTCATAACTGATTAACTCATTCACTGCCAATGACGACTAAAGTCGTCATTTGCATTTTTTTTTTTTTACTGTTTGAGCATCGGAACGAGCCCCCGCGCTGAGAGAACAATTATCTCAGCCCTGAAGCCGATCTTCATCTGCATACGTCACACATCACGTGATCAGGAAGCAGAACATCCATGTGTTAGGAGATCGTTTTGGGCCGTTCCTATAAAAAAGGTGAGGCGCGAACCGGAAAAGCGTCTGCCGATCACAATTCGACAACAGATTATGAAAAAACGGATAACGCTCGAAACACGCGGATTCTTCCTGATGTAAGAGGTGAGTCTCCTCATTGCTTTGGTTGTTTTGGCGTCTACATCATCCTAGCACTCTTAAGAAAACAGTAAAAGTGGTGAGAAACGCTGGCAGTGAATGAGTTAAAATGAAGGTGTATTTATTGGTGTCACACACTGCTGATGTGTTTTGCATCGGCACCGTCATCTTTACTTGCACTTGGTTCATAAAACACCACAGGGGGACATTCATGAGCTTGGTCCTCAAAAGGCAGATCTGTGCAGTGAAATATTTAAATGGCAGATTTGCAAAACATAATGTGATGAAATAATTGTAATAATCTTTTTTTTTGTTGTCACTTTTATATCTATTTTGGTTTAGAAACCAGAATTGACAGTCAAATGAAGTGCACAACCATACTCAATACCAACTGGAATTTATTCCATCCTAAGCCACAGCTGATTACAGGAATGTTCCAGTTCCAGAGAAGTTTAAACTTATCTGGCCTTTTATCTCTAAAAATAAAACAAATAAATGCAAACGACTGAAAGAAAAGTGTGTTTTTACTGGTAGTTATGTTGTTTCTTTCTAAAGTTGACCCCTCAGGTGACCTTTAAGTCCAGCCTTTAGCATGATTTGAATCTGAGTGTGTAGAGTCACATGTTTCTCATTTGTACTGTCAACTCTGCAGCAGGAACACTGTGCTGCCCGTGGATGTGCCTGACTGTTTATCACTAAAGCATGCACAGACATGGCCAGTTGTTGGTTTTACTTAAAAAAAAAACTGTAAACGTCAAATTAATCAATCCACCATACTAACCTATCTACCTTTACTCATGAGTGCAGCTAGCTGGTTAAAAAGAACAAGTTTGGTACATTTCATCTAAAAAAGAACGGTGTGTGAGTCATACTGGTGTCTTTTGTGTCTTCTAGTGTAAATCTTAAATTTAAATAATGCTTTAAACAATAAACACAAGTAAAAAGAAGTAGTTACAACCAAACCATTTGGAATAACAACATCTAAACAAAATAACCACAAATAGGAGAACTTTGGAGATAATTTCTTATGTTTAAATTCTCTTTCCGGAGTATTTCTCATGTCCGATGGCACCATCTAGTGGCGGACAAGCATATCACAAAAAGTCTGTTGCTCTTAAGGTGGCGACTTCACATTTGTGTTTATAAATGTGCTTCTGTAGCCGACAAACAGAGCTAAAACACGCTGTTTTACGAGTATTATTCTCATGTCATGTTGTGTTCTCATATATTTATGTTTTAGAGACTTACTTGTCCGTGAAAAATTCATCAACTCTGCGTCAGCCGAGGTATTCCTTAAATTTGAAGCGTCTAAGCAGTAGTCTAACGCTATTGGTTAGTTCTGGTCAGCGCTCAGTTTCCTATTGCACGGAGCTCTGCAGTGCAGGGGGCATGCTTAGCAAAAAAAAGAAAAAAAGACGTATTGCTTATATTGTATCACAGTACATGATAATATAATCACTTTTACGGATTTCTGAAAAACCATACATAATTTCTGAAAGTAGAAAACTCCGGAAAGCAGCTTTAACCGTGTTCGTGTGAAACTATTCCCTGAGTTTTAAACCGCACGTGAAAATGTGCACAACATAATTACAATGAAAACTGTGGATAAAACATTTAGTTTGTAAAAGTTATAATGACCATTGTTAAATGTGTAGGATTTGTTTGTAAAATAGAAACAGCCATCACGTTGGGTTATACCTGATTTTTCACCTCTAACCCAAGAAATTGTCATTAGGTGTATTTTTTTTTTACGTGGGCTCTGCCAACCACCAAATCCCAGAAGCCCACAGATTATCCTCTGCGCTCTAAATAAAGACTGCAAGGCCACTATTTCACGTAAACATGTTGCTTTGGAAATGCAGTGTGACAAATTTTCAAAATAAAATAATATAGAATGTCAATTTATAGAGGAATATTTGTTTTACTTCTGTAGAATTTTTATTTTATTCTTTGACATTTTCTTTGTATTCAGTCAGACATGCATTAGATTTGAAAAGGTCACCGTGTGCTTCTCTCTGGGTCAGGGAGGAATGGATGAGATCGATCCAGGCAGTAACCAACAGCCTGAAGAGTCAGCAGCAGGACGAGGAACCCATGGAGATTAAATTTGGCTCACCGAGTGACAGCAGCGGCGCAGAGGAGATGGAGATTGCTGTGTCCAAATCCCGTTCAAAAGTAGTCAGTATTTGCACAAGCAACGCCTGGCAGCTGTGTGTGTGTGTGTGTGTGTGTGTGTGTGTGTGTGTGTGTGTGTGTTCTGCTAAGCTCATCTTTATTGAGCAAGTTGGTCAAACTTTAAGCCTCTTTCTCAAAGCTTTTTTGTGAAACCCTTTTTAAATTAAAAAGGTCACTGTTTGATTATTTTTTTAATTTTTGTCTTGCTGAAATGTTTTGAGAGATAATTTTCATTGACATTTTCTGTTTTCTTTTATAAAATATGTTTTTTTGTCCTAGTCTTTACTTTAATGCTTACCTGCAGATTTTGACCCAAAACACAGAAAACCTGGCAAAAGCAGCAAACATTGTTTTTAATTTGTATGTTTTAAAGAAAGTTTTTTGTGTTTTTCTTTGCTTTTTCACATAAATCACATAAATCATGGCATGTCTGAGAAAACAGGAATGAGTTCCAACAAATTAGAGATGAATTAATATTTGTCTCAACTTTCCTGAAGACCATGATCGACTTTGACTACCTGAAGCTTTTGGGAAAAGGGACGTTTGGAAAAGTGATCTTGGTGAAGGAGAAAGCCACTGGGATGTACTATGCCATGAAAATCCTCCGCAAAGAAGTCATCATCGCTAAAGTCAGTGCTGACTAAAATATTTAAGTGGGACTGTCTTGTAGTTTTGCTACATGCTTAGTGTTTGTGCTCTTTATGCATGGACTGTGTGTGTGTGTGTTCCTATAGGACGAGGTGGCACACACAGTTACAGAGAGCCGAGTTCTCCAAAATACGAGGCACCCCTTTCTAACGGTGAGTCACAAGTACTTCTGTTGTTTTTTGCCTGAAGACTTCTCTTCATCCTCATAATGAAGGTGCACATGATTTCTTCTGCAGACTCTAAAGTATGCATTTCAAACAAACGACCGGCTCTGCTTTGTGATGGAGTACGCAAACGGAGGAGAGGTAGCTATTTCTTTTTGCTTTAGACAGGCGGTAGGTTTAAACAAGCAGAAGGAAACTTCCCCGCATCGAATCAGTTGTAGACTTGATATTTTGCCTTTAGAATGTTTGTAATCCAGACCGGATTACCGTTTCATGGGAATAACGTCAGAATTTAAATCCACTTTCAATCACTTGTTTTTCAAACCTTCACCCGCCTGTAAAGCTCAAACAAAAATATCTTCAGTCTTTAATACGTACAGAGTCAAGTTCATGATGCTGCAAATAAAAATATTCAGTATGTTTTTTAATCCTCTTGCAGCTCTTCTTTCACTTATCCCGGGACAGAGTATTCACTGAAGATAGGGCACGGTTCTACGGTGCAGAAATAGTCTCAGCACTGGAGTATCTACACTCACGCAATGTCGTTTACAGAGACTTAAAGGTAATGTGTTCTCTTCGTTCAACCCAGGGGACTCGTTCACCTGTCAGGAAGAAGAATGGGAAGTTTCTTAGCAAGTTTTTTGAAGTGATCTGTATTTCTGATCTGATTCGTGTCTACATTTCCATGTGCAGCTTGAGAACCTCATGTTAGACAAAGATGGCCACATAAAGATAACGGATTTTGGACTTTGTAAAGAGGGGATCACAGACGGCGCCACCATGAAAACCTTCTGTGGAACCCCGGAGTACCTGGCACCAGAGGTAAATCTGTCTGGACTGTTGGTGTCTGACAAAATGAATAATAATCGATCCTACAATTCTCCGATTACTGGTGAGTCCGCTCTACCTCCTGAGCTTCTGCTACCCCTAGATGAAAGACGCCGTTATTTATGAACAAGATGGTCAAATAGTCTTTTCACTGTGATGCTCATTCATAAAAGTCCGATCTTTGTGGCGTTACTTGAAAAACCTGCAGACAGCACTATAGTCGGTATTTGCCCAGCCATTTGAAATCTACAGCTTAGTGACACATCTTTAGTGATGGGAGTGAATACAACACACCGAATAATGCATGTTTCACATTGTTACTGCATGGGCTGTTTGCTATACTAATAGTTGACACCTATGTGCAAAAGCCAGTAGAGATGTGTAGGGGTGTGTATGGGCAGGAATCTGGCAAAACGATGCAATTTTAAGACGGACCTTAATTGGAAAACTCGAGTCAGATGTTTCCAAGATGCATGCAGGGTTATCTTGGGATCCACTAGAAAGAAGGTGGTGAAAACTGCTGCCACCTAGCAGTCAGAGTTTGAATTGCTTCACACCTGAGAAATACAGTATATGTTTGCTTGTAAATCCTCAATAAAAATCAATACGGTGCTTTTAGATATCCATTCAGTATCATAACATGAAAAATCGCCATATCTCAGCGCATCAGTATTTCCTTACATCCCTACAAACTTATTTACAACAAATGTAAGAAACATCCATTAAAGGGGCATTATGGAAGTATGACAGCCAAAACATGTACAGAAATAATAAATGTCTTCTTCATACATTCTCCTGCAATGCCCTGGTCCTGTAGAATGAGCCCTGGCATTTTTACTGTGATTGCTTGTTTTTCTGTAAAATCACAGAAAAAGAGAGTTGCTCGGGTCGAGCAGGCTGCTTCATGCGCGTTCACGCTCAGGCATAGCCCGTAGCATTTCCCATCAGTAGCTTTAGCAGGTGAGAGTGAGGTAGTGCCAACTCAGCGACTTTGTCGCTGTTCCTAACGCCTAGTGACGAATCTAGCTACATTTCTGAGGACCCTTAGCTACTTTCTTCTAGATATTTCCTGCAAATTAGTAACAAAATAGCCATTCTCGCTCCGAACCGTTCTTTGAACGTTGTTTCAGCTGTCATCAAGGATATAAATGTTACAGATGAAAAATATATAACTGGCCCTTTAGCACACCTAGTAAGACGTCAGGCTGTCGTGCAGGAGATCCGGGTTCGACTCTGGGCATGAACATAATTAATTTTTTACATTAATGGTATATTTTTTTACAGTAAGATGCCCAAATTTTTATTTGAGACTCGCTGAACGGCATTGAATTCACAGATAAAAAAGATGTGGGTTCAACTTTCATTTTGGAACAATTTTTCAAGCAAGGGAAGGGAATGATCTGAGCATGCAGGAAGACTGACCCATCTTAAACCTTTGTCAGCTGTGCTGAAGAGAAAGGTACAGAACCAAATTATTTAATTAATTAGCTACGCGTTTTCCTGTCCTCTGTCCTCCGACACACACACACACGGGACTGTCTCAGCTGTTATTTTTGTTAAGGAGTGTGCACGTACAGCATGCGCGCCTCGTGCACGAGCCTACTATTGAAGCTGCCGTTACGCTTTTGGCCTGAGGGGGCAATCGCGAGCATAAAAATTCAAAACTCCGTAAAGTCCCTTTAATTCAGACACAGTTTCAGGTAAAAATGATAGTTAAATCACAGATTTGACAGATTTGACAATTTCAACATTTTTGAATCTAAGAAAGAAAACAATCTTTTATATAGCGCCTCTCTAGATAAAACTCATGAGGCGCTTCACTAGAACAAAAACTTTTAAAACATAAAAATAGATTGATTAAAATATATGGTTTAAATAAAAGAATAATTAAAGAGAAAATGAACAGGAAAGATCAGTGGATCCCAGGAAAGGTGGAATAAGAACAGAATAAGGGTGGTGATGAAGGTCACGCCAAAGCGTGAACAGGTGAGTTTTCTGCTGCTTCTTAAAGGAGACCACTGAGTCCACTGATCAGGGGGAGAGAGATCCAGAGTCTGGGGGCCACAGCAGCAGAAGATCTGTCACCTTTGGTCTTTAGCCTGGTGCTTCACAACCAGTAGGCTTTGATCACTGGACCTCAGGGACCTGCTGGGGGTGTAGGGACTAAGAAGATCACCAACGTATGATGGTGCTTGTCCATGTAAGGCCCTATAGACCAGAACCAGGATCTAATGACTCGCGCAGTGAAACGAGGACAATTAGTTTGGTGGAGAATGACTATTAAGTATTTAAAAGGATAGTTAATTTTGAGGAATGTGATGAAGCTAATAATAATGTCATTAAGAGCAGTATGTATGAAAGTGTTTGATGCCCGTCTAAAGGGTGTTTGATTCGCTGGAATGAGTGAGAAGCTGCTGCTACGATGGACACAAAGGGCTAAATGTGGAGACCGATAAAGAAAGGACCAAAGCAGTTCTAAACATCTGTAACGATGCTGAGCTACAAATGTTCTAGTAGCTAAAAGTCATACCAACACATCTGGAGCTAACTGATCACATACGGTCTTGTAAGAGAGATCAACCCCTTTTGTACACGATCCAACCAAAAGAGCTACACCTCCATCTAGGGCTGCTCAATTAATCGAATTTTAATCATGATTACGATCTGAGTTTTGAACGATTATACAAATAAAACAAGCCGATTATTTGCTCATCCCACTTGCGCTGCCCTGAGTTGCAAATGAAGCGCTCCTCCCACTGTGTTGCCAACTTGGCGACTTTGACGCTATTTCTAACAGCTTTTCAGACCCCCTTCTTGACTTTTTAAATCTTAAAAATACCTAGCGAACACCTCAGAAACATCTCTGGTAACCCTTAGCTACTTTCTGGATAACTGTCGTCGACATTTCCTGCAGATTAGCTAAAGACTCCGCCTGCGCTCCGGACCGTTCTTCAGGACATTAGGAAAGGGAATGATGTAGTGATGTGTCGGTCGCTAAAGAAACAGCCCTCAGAGCCAGCTCCCTGTGGATTAACCAGAGTGAGTGACACACACACCGCACCTGCGGACTCCTGAGCCGCTAAAAACGGCTAATGTGCGCATGCGGCGTGCTAAACACACGTGCAGCTTGCCCCTGATTGCTTTGAGACCAGGTTGAGGTGTGTGCAGCTGTGGTTGGGACAATTATTACAATAACTGATGGACTTGTAAATAAATAGTTTATAAATAAGGTAGAAATAAGTTCCCCACGCTGATAAATAACTAATCTCTCTGAGGACACGGTGCTAGTGCCTGCTCCTACAGCATCTTGACACGACTAAATATATGTTATGCAACATTTTATGAACATCAATTTATTTGCATTTATTTGTTATAAATGCCACTGTATAATTCTTGCTGTCAGTATTTGCAACATATTGGTATTTGGGTCTGTACTGGTTAGACTTAAATGAGTTAAACCAAGGTCTATAGCCCTTGGGTCATAGACTATGAGCTATAAGTATATTGGTCTTTTTATACTGGGAATCAGGAGTTATTTTAGTGATCATCTTGTTCTCATTTTTTTTTGTCCTGATTGTGCCCTGAGCAATTTTATGACTGAATAAAAACAAATAAAATCAACATAAATTGAAAAATCTTCCTAAATAATCGAGATCTCAATTTCAGTCACAATAATCGTGATTATTATTTTTGCCATAATCGAGCAGCCCTACCTCCATCGTGTCTCAACGTAAGGTTATCAGTTTAAAACGGACATGGAAGCGAACTAGCAATGCTATACGTGCCATGCCTTTTTAAATACCAAAACTAAAGTCATCAATGACTGCAGGTGGCAACAATCAGTGTGTTTTCTGAGCACACTTCTAATTTTAGTCTTTAATAAACGTGCTGTTTATTTCCTGCAAAAATATATCCCACAAATAATTTCTTACAGCTTAAACAGATGTTACCTTAATCAGCTTTGTTAAAAAGGTGGTAAAAGTCATTTCAAAACCTACCGTTGCTCCACCCAACATTTCACAAATAAAACGTCTCCATCTCGCCACCCAGCATGACATGGCTTTAATATTTTATGGTATTTTATTATAAATGAAGGGAACCGGACAGCAGAGAATAAATAAGTAGATTTCTTTCTTTATTTAACATTTCTCTTCTCCCCCATCAGGTGCTGGAGGACAACGACTATGGACGGGCAGTGGACTGGTGGGGACTGGGGGTGGTGATGTATGAGATGATGTGTGGTCGGTTGCCGTTTTACAACCAGGACCACGAGCGTTTGTTTGAGCTCATCCTCATGGAGGAGATCCGCTTCCCTAAGAGCCTGGCTCCAGAGGGAAAGGCCCTGCTGGCAGGACTGCTTAAAAAAGACCCCAAACAAAGGTAGGAGGTCTTAGCTGCGGGAACACCGTTTTACAAAAAGCACCAGACGGGTTTCACTTCTTTTTACTCTCAGAAACCAAAAACAAAGATCCTACCTATTTAATGTTGAGAAACAGGGTTTTATTGTTGCAGTTATGGTTGATTTCTGAGGTAAATGTTGAAAACTAAAATAACATTTGAACCATTTTCATCTGTTAAAGCAAGTTTCTGTTGTGAGAATGAAAACCGTTTCTCCGTGACCTTTTTCCCTGCCCCTGATCTGTTTCGGAGTCTTGTTGTGCTTGTAGACGCCCTGTGTTTGGCTATAAAAGACGTAACCCTGTTATTGAAGCTCATGTTCCTTCCTGATTAGTTTTGTTCAGGGTAATGGTCTGAAACGGGGACAAAATTGATTGTTGTTTTGGTCAGGACCCCACGTTTCTGGTAATCACAGGAGAACTGCTAATCTTAGCGCACACGGAGCGCCGCTTGCAGCCTTACTTGTGGACATAAGTAGCAAGGAAATGACCAATGAATGTGTTTAGAAGCTGGTAAATATTGTTGTTTGTGGTATGTTTCTGATTAATGTGTTGGAGCAGTTATTCAGGTGGTAATGATTTCATTTTGTACTCGTTTACAGACTCGGAGGTGGACCAGACGATGCCAAAGAAGTGATGACCCATAAGTTCTTCACCCCCATCAACTGGCAGGATGTCATTGAAAAAAAGGTTAGAAGCACAGATGGAAACAAACTAATTCTATTTAAAAAAAAAAAGAGGATTTGTTTGTAAAATGATAGATTTTTCTTCATCTCCTCAGCTTATTCCACCCTTCAAGCCCCAGGTAACATCAGAGACGGACACGCGTTATTTTGATGATGAGTTCACGGCACAAAGTATTACAATAACCCCCCCAGACAAGTGTAAGCACAGTTATTCTTGTTTCCTTTTCCCCGTTTAAGTTTTTCACATCTGTTTTTAACCGTCACCCCTCCCGCCTTGTCTCCCCAGATGACAATTTAGATCCAGAGGATTCAGATCAGCGTACACACTTCCCTCAGTTCTCCTACTCTGCCAGCATACGGGAGTGATCCCTGAGACTCATGAACAAGTGAACAGGCTGGCATACAATCACAATCCCACATGCACCCATGCACTGCGAGGAAACGGAACGAGACAAGAAAAAGTAGCACAAGACACATTTTCATTCCGTTGTTCACACACACACACACACACACACACACACACACACACACACACACACACACACACACCTAAATAACTGATAAAGTAGGAAATGAGGTCACAGATCATGACTGTCTGACTTCATCAGGCTTGTTTGGACAGACTGGCAGCTTTGTCTCTGCACGTCCTCTGAGGGTCGGCCGTTGTTCTTCCCTGCTGGACCTCTGCAGCACCAGATCAAAGCCTTTACACTTTAAAAACCCACCTAAGTACCACCTTTTTACCAGCTGTACCCCTGGTCAACACACACACACTCACACACACACAGTCCAAGCACGCAAACCTACACGATGGAATTTTAAAAGTATAATCACAATTAGGAACATTGATGACATCTGGGGAAAAGGACAATTGCTATTATTTTTTTAAATTTCATCACTTGTTACGGTTTTAAATGTAAAGCCATATTTCAGCTTTTTGTTTTGATTAAAGAAAATAACAAGTGCTCTTTCTGGAACTTGCTGTTACAAATCAAGTGTAGGGTTGTCCTACAGCGGGGGGAGGGGGGTTAAATGAGAAGAATTGCCATGACTGTGTTTGCACTGCACAAGTGTGCATGGACAGGAGAATATGAATGTATGTGTGTGTGTGTGTGTGTGTGTGTGTGTGTGTGTGTGTGTGTGTGTGTGTGTGTGTGTGTGTGTATAGCTAGTGTAAGAGGATGAGTGAAAAACAGCTTTTAATTCTCAACCATCCATTTTTATGTCTGTCTGTTTGCATGTTTTTAAACTTTGCTGGAATATCGACAAAAGAGGACACTACGCAGCACGATCGTTGGGCCTTTTTTTCCCTCGGCGTGAGAAGGCGTGTAGCTTGGCTGTTGGAGCCGGCTTGCTAGTGGTTCAGATCCATTGCATGGCTAACCTTTTATTGCTGTAAAAGCTGCATTAAGTTGGAGCGATGCAGCATGCACGCACTTATAGGTTCTTGTGTACAAACGGAGAAACCACCTCGTCGCTGGTAGGGCTGGGCGATAAATAGAAAATTTATTGTTATCGACATTTTTGGCTCATACGACATCGTTTTTCCCACGTCAATAAATTCAATTATAAACACAATGAAAATATGTGTGTAGGTTGGTGACATTCATGTCCTTTTAAGAAGCTGTACCAGCTTGCATTACACGTGACAGCCCCATCTAGTGGACAACTTTTGTTTGCGCATACCTGTGGTCATCGTCCATTTATCGTTATCAAGGTGAAATCCATAATATATCGTGATATTGATTTTAGGCTGCATCGCCCAGCCCTAGCGGCACATCGAGGTCCCGGCACAGCTTTGCTTTAGTAAACAGAAAATCGAGAGGAAAATTTGACCCCAGTTTTGTTCCTATCCAGACGGTCCAGTCAGTTTCACGGCCTAACTGAATCATATGTTCTTTATTTTATTTGTAATATCAAAATTTTTACAGATGTTACGTTTTTAATTGTCCTCATATTTAAAGAACGAAATAGCTCTAATTAATTAAAGGACAAAGAAATCTACTTGTTTGACATGAACCCTGTCATATGATTCCACGTTTGAGTCTGGCTGTGTTTTCTAAGGTGTCCGAGCACTTAATCTGTTTGGAGTAGCAGGATGACCGTTGGCATGAGTCACTGAAGCCTTTTACTCTTCAGAATAGAGGAAATACTTTAAATCTCCAAAGCTGAAATGAAAACCTGCAAAGTTACGGTCAGGAAGGCATGATTGGGTGGTAAGCTGAAAAGTGCTCAAAAAGGGTTTTACATTTCACAACGCTGGAAAAGATGTTGGCTTCTCTTTTATTTTTCGTCATTTTTTGTTTGTCCCCCCCCTCCCCATCATTTTCTCATTTCTCAAAATTTGGAAGACACGTTGTCTTTTCTACATGAAATATAAATATATATTAAAAGAAGGTTTTTCAAACTGCTTTCTTCATCTTTTTTTAACAACTTTTAAGTTTTTCTTCTCAAGGAGGATTGCTTGTTTATAATGATCATCCAAAAGAAAGGTTCATTTCCAGTCTAAAACATTGCAACAAAGCCCAAATTTACCGCTTTTACTTAACATGCATTAGAAGGAATATTTGTAATCCCAATTTTAAATCAAGACTTTTGTCCAAACACTTAACTGATTGCACACACTTTGCCAAAACCAAAAGATTTAAGCTTATTTAAAAGTTATTTGACTTTCCTTGGCAGTTCCTAAACTAATTAAGCCACAATATACACAAAATGAGCTATTAGGGTATTTATTTAAAAGAAAGGCATTCTCTGGGAAACCCTCTGGTCACATCTGAATTAGTTTATTTTGTAGTGATTTTTATTTTAACATTTGCGTGCGTGATGGAGTGAAAGGTGTCTTGAGTGAGAGTGTTGATTCAAACACAGGAGAAGCACCAAGTTCTTTGATGCAGCATTGACCATGAGGTGGCCTCAAATCAGCTGAAAAGTGTTAATAATTAAAAAATGTGATGAAATGGCTTTTATTTCCTCTGAACAACTCCAGCACCTCTTCTCACTGGCTCAGGCACAGCTGTCACACTCTGTCCTGGAGTCCTGCTTTGGAAGCGGCGGGGCTCGGACACCAGAACCATTGCACTGATGGACTCCACTGTGGAATTGCCTTCATTGCCATCATGACCACAGGGGGGTGCTGCTGGACTCTTGATGTTGGTGGCAAAGCCAGAGACTGGACCTCTCTGATGGCCACGCTTTAAGCAATGCTTCACAGCTAAACATGCAAGCTCTAAAATCCCTGACCTCTCTTGTAGGCATACACTGGCACAACAAGTGCCTCTTCATTATTGTGTAAATACCAAAAAGAGGAAAAAGGAGTGAGCTCGATGGTGAATGCAGCATTATTAGAAGGGGAAGCCTGCAGCTTTGTAGTCTTTAATTTGCAGCTTTACCATGTTCAACATGTTTCTCTGTATATTTGAATGTGATCAACAGACAGGAGTGTCATACCTGCTGCTGGTTTAAGACATTTTCGTTTTTCTCTTTGCCTTCTGAGCCTTGATTAAAAATCAATGAAAAAAAGCAATCTTAAAAGGAGGACATTGTCCTAGCAGGCATTTACACCCCATTGCAGGACTTTACAATGTAACGGGTGATACATGCTGCAGTATGGTAGCTTATATTTGCAAACATAATGTGCCAGTAAATATTTTTACTGATTAAATGTGTGTAGCTCTTTTATTTATTTCTCTCACAGTTGAGGAAATCTACATTATTTAGGTATTTTTTACTATTTTAATTATAGATTGTTTTTGCCATATTGTGTGTGTTAGGGTTACCTGCCACAGAAGGAAAAACACTGAGGCAGGTCCGTTTGGAAGTTTCCTGTTAAAAGGGACTTTTCCTCTCCACTGTCGCCACATGCTTGCCTGAGGAACTCTTGTTGCGAGTTGACGCTGTAAAACTGAATTAAACATTTCCGATAGTTATGTTGAGCTAAAAGTCAAAATCTTTTTTTTTTTTTTGCAGTGAATAAGAAGAAGCAAATAGGCCCTCTGATGCTGCTACCTCAGCAGCCAAAGGACTGACGTAATAAAAATACTTGTTTTATATTTATGCAGCAAAAACATGAACACAGATTACCCTCAGTTGCAATAATACAAACGAATGTTCTGGTTCAAATGCACAGTAGGGTTCATTTTCTCTTGACTTTTTTAGTAAAGGGGAACTAGACTTTTAGCACCCCCTAGTGTGTATTTGCAAAACCAATCTCGCTGTGTGCTCGTCTTTTTAGCACCTTGGGCCCAATCTCAATACAAGCAATGCACCCTATGGACTTCAGAAAAGTGCACTTGGAGAATGCGCAGTAGGGTTCGAGTGCGTCATACACAAGTGTGCAAATGACTGCAGAATTGAGACAGGGGAATTGCGTCATCGACCGCTATGCATGTCGGGATGCTGGTCGCTGTTATACTTTTTTTCAAAAACCATTATTAACAATGTTTAAACAAACAGCCAAATAGTTATTTGAAATAAATTTACATTTATTGCTGCTTTGCCTAAAAGTTTTAGAGCATCAACTAATCTTCCTAAAATAAACTAATTTTATTAGAAAATACATATTTTCAGAAAAGGAACTTGAGCCTTTTCTCCTGCAGCAATGACTTGTGGGTAACATGCTTGCCCGAGGTCTGCATCGTTGCAGACTTGGGTGAAGTGCAGATTACGGGTGCAATGGGGGTGGGTAGTCAACTTCCGCACTTGAGAATTGGGACGCCCTACGCACTCGCACCCCTGGCCGGGAATGCGAAATGAAATGTCTCCCCAGCCTTCATTAGTGTCTCAAAGAGTGATTTATCTCTAAATTAAACCAATCAACTGTGTTCAGGATCTGAAACATGCTGGAAGCAGACTGCAGCACCAGGTATGTCAGCTCCATTTCCCAGCAGGGTGGCCCGCAGGTCTGATGCTATAGGGGCTGGGTGGCCTTCATTAACGGGTCATTTTAGCACACACTGCTCAAGAAAATGATTTAAAATATGCAAAAGTTGCAAAGTATATAACTTCTGGAATTAATTTTCTTCTTTTTTTTTTTTACATTCGTTGCCCTGGTACCTTCCTACAAGGATGGTGTTAATTAATTTTGTTCAAAATAGTGAAAATTGGTTTTATTTCACCTGTAAAAACTTTATCGCCTAACATAAAGTTTGACATTTACTTTTACAAAGAAATGTAACAATTTGTAGCGGAAGTGTCTGGTCCGCGTTCACCGGAAGTACACTGCCCACCTTGACCCGGCGCGTGCAGGCCAATTAGAGCGGAGCAGCTGTCTTCATTAGCGTCCCTCCGGTCAGCATGGCGCATCTCTCCGCCCCAGGCCTCCGCCGACGACCGTGGATAAGTAGCTGCAGCGGCCCGGCACGAGAGCTCAGCATCCGGCTGTCCCCATGGCCAGGAGCGGGTTCTGCGACTCCACGGCTCTGCTGGACTTCCACATGAAGGTGGGCCCAGCAGCATTCCAGCTTCTGATGATTCATGATTAATATGTTTTTGGTTTATTAGGTTAGTATGGCAAGCCATATGTGAACATCAAAATGAGGAAAATCATTTAGCTTTGGCAACTGATGGTCTAGATTTCTAGACTGTGTGCTTGGAAACCTTAAATTGGACAAAAATGACTTTTGCACCGTTTTTAATTTAATAAAATTTCAATTTCGAACTAAAATTCTTCACACCCCTATCATTTACTCTGGTGTCTTAAAACTCCTGACTCCCTTTATGCCGTGTGAGAGCTGAGTTGGTGTTGGGAAGGCCAGAAGGCCAGGTCAGCACCTTGACTGAACAGTTATTTAATTTTCTGCCGTCACAGTTGGTGATCAAGGGCACAATTAACAGTTTAGGTAATAAAAGCATGCCTGTGTTCATGTCCAGAAGCACAAATGTATAGATGATGAGTTTGCCCCTGTAGGTGGAAGAGAGGAGACCCCCATTAAGAGTGATGGCTAACACCTGTGGGCCTATAGATCGCTGGCAGCCAATGGAAGCAGGTGATTCCAGGATGAATGCGGTCAATATGGAGCCCGAGTGCAGATGGGTCAGTTTGCCACCTCAACCCCACATCTGCTGTCTCTTTCTACCTAACTGGTTCCTGACTGGTCGGACGAATACTAAAGCAAACATTTCCCCCTCATGCCTCTCCCAAGTGCATGCTGCTGTGATGTGTAAGCTGTCCGTTCCTTGCAGGAAAGGAGGCTCTCCGCTCACACCAGTGAAGAAATCCTCATGGGATTCCACGAAGACAATTCTGGTAAATTATTTCCATCCAGATATTTTAACATCAGTAAAGCTCTTCTATAAATATTTATAGTTAAATTTTAGTTGGTGTGAGGTAAAAAGTAAAACCCAATCAATGGCCTGTGCACATGCATTTGTTTCCTTAAGAAAACCGGAATAATTTTGTCTGCCGTTCTTTTGTCCTGCATCCTCTGCAGCAGCAGAAGATTGTGTGGAGACCTGTGTTTTTTACCCACATGGCCTGCAGGGCCTTTCCGGTCTCCAGGCCCTGGTTCCCAGTTTGCTGCGACGTGAAGTAGAGAAGGCACTTGAGAAGTTGGACCTTATTTGGGACCGGCATTATGCTTGGGACATGTTTTTGGATATGATGGTAAGGATTATGTCCAGGGGCCATCAAACTTTTATGTTTTTGGTTTTGTGGAGCCAGGGGCACCAAAAATAGGAAGGAAAGTTGGGATGATTTGAAAGGCCCATTTTTAAAAGCTAAATTAAAACTATATTCAAAATAAAGTTTTAATTTTTCATGGGGTCTGAAAACCCTGGTGGTGCCCCTGAGAGTACAAGCCTAGAACGACACCTTGAGCGCCTCTGCTGCACAGCAACTCTCGAATGTGTGTCTTGTTTTTGGGTTTTGTCCTGCAGAGAACGCAGAACTTTGTTCCCATTACGGATCTGCCCGGGCATTTCACTGATGCCAATCGAGCTATCCTAGTGGACTGGATCATTCAAGTTCATGTGAGTTGTCTTGGTTCTGATTTTTACTAATGCATAAATCTCAATGGTTTTGGAAGTGGTGCTGTTCTGAAATGCTGGCCCACTTTCACTACTTTTGAAATTCAGGAAGGGGGTGTTAAGATTTTTGCACGTGCATTATAAATTCCCTGTGGTGTTGTGATGTTTGGGAGGGATGGATGTCCTGAGTTTTTTCATTTCTAAAACATCCCTACATCCTCCTGGCTTGAATTTCAACATTTATAAATGAACTTTTCAGAAAATCTCCCAAAAACAAAGCGCTTATGCAATGTTGTCTGAAGCTTGGGAGCTAACTGTTTGCTTTTGAGTACCACATAAATGGTGGCTAACACAACAAACCAAGTTATCAAGTTGGTTGTAAAAAGTTTTTCCTCAATTATTTGTTAAACGCTGCTTTCTGACAGGATTTGTTGCAGTTCCAAGAAGAGACTCTCTACCTGGCCATACACCTCCTCAACCGCTCCTTACGACACCTGAAGGTGCAGACGGCCAACCTGCAGCTCCTCGGCATGGTTTGCCTCTTTCTTGCAGCAAAGAAAGAAGAGAGCCTTCTCCCAGAGGTAGGCTCAACCATGAAGCTGCCAACACTTTGGTGATCTTTGCTTTCTGACATCCTGTGTGTGTGTGTACACACATCCTGTGTGTGTGTGTGTGTGTGTGTACAATCTGAAAGCAATTAAATTTAGGATTTAGAAGTTTTTTTGTCCTTGAAATGTAGAAAGTTTCCCAGTTTCTTTTCTTTTTAGGTGTCTGCACTCTGCAGCTTGATGGACCACGCCTACACCAAGCATCAGCTTTTGCGAATGGAACGCAAAGTCCTCTCTTCACTCAAGTTTGACCTGTCCTGTTGTCCGGCTCTTCATTTCCTCCTCATCTTTTCCTCTGTGGCTCACTGCAGTGCTATGGTAGATCCACACCACTCCATTTCCTGTTCTTGACTGTAACGGTATTGACCCCTGGCTGTGGTCGGTCTCCAGGTGGTGTGGATGGCTCGTTACCTGCTGGAGCTGTCTCTCCTGGAAGATCGGTGTGTGGCGTTTCTGCCAGTGCAGCTGGCTGGAGCTGCCCTCTGTTTGGCCCGCCGGGTCTTACAAGAGTCTCTGACCCCAGCAGGAGAAGCTGCCTGGTGTCTGGCCTCTAGCATCCATGTCGGCAGGTGTGCAACTCTTCTTATTCATTTGTCTTTTATCATATTTATTTGCCAACACAAGTATGATACTTTTTAAATGTTCACACTGGACTTTTTTACTTCAGTGAGCCAACTCTGCTGAGGATAATGCATATTCTAGCTAGTGCTGCAGCCAAGGCCCACGCCCGAGAGACCTGCGCTACTTTTCTGAAGTTTTCTTCCCCAGAGACCATGCATGTTAGTAGACACCCAGGTCTGAGGACCGCTGTAGGTCTGCTGGGTGAATGCTCTTGACACTTCAGACTCAACTTGAGTTGGTGGATTAGTTTCCTTTTAGGACTTGATGCTCCAACAGTCCAAGTTTATAGCAGAAGTATTTTGGACCCTATGGAGTTTCCGTGTAAATGGATCAGAAGTGTGAAAGATTTTGTGCCCAATGTTGTTTGCAGTCTTCTAGCATGTCCAACAATGTGGCACATTTGTTTTATGGTCTTATCTTGCAGCTGATGCAGAAAATACTTGAACTGTACTGATGTGTCCTTGTCTTGTGGAGAGGATGTGAGTTATATATGTCAAGTGTAGGAAATTTTTATGTAAAATAAAGTGTCTGCTGCTTTGTGTTTTGAGATTAAACCATTTTGTTTTCACGTGTGTGTGTGTGTTAGATCTTCTACACAACCATCGAGTGGCTAATGTCCTCCTCGTGTCATTATGCAGTAACACTGAATGTACACTGGTCCCAGGTACTTCGTTTAAGAGGCTGGTGTGAAGGCCCCTGTAAAGCCAAGTTTTAATAACAATGGATGGAAAATATTTTAACTATAATTCTTAAAGGTGCAGGAACATAGTGAGAAAATCTCGACGTTTCAGTCATTATGGAAGGTCATACTGAAACATATTTCATATCCAGCGTGGTGCGGGGATTGTCGGTTTTCTCCTTTCAGAACAAAGGACGGACATAACTACTGTTTACCATCAGTGAGTGTGGAGGTGTCGCTTGCAAGAAGAGACAAGACTGGTTCTAGTCAGGCACTGTCAACATAGGGAGAAGGATGCTGAGGCTGCAGCTACCAGGCAGGAGGGTGAGAAGACCAAAAGATTCATTAATGATGCACAGCTGGAGGATGTGAGGGTAGACTAAATGGAGACGGATTATTTGCTGTGGTGACCCCTGAAGGGAAAATGTGAGAAAGGAGCATATCAATTTAAAGAGAGAAACTAATGCACATCAGCAATTTGAATAATGGCTGCAGTAATCTCAAAGCACGAGGGATAGAACAGTAATAGAAAGTTTGTTACAAGCAGGTGCAGAAACAATACCTACATTCAGAGGTTGCGTTAGACATGTTTTCATTTTGGTCGACAGTCATTTCCTGTTTTTTCTCAAATAAAATTCATTTTACATTTTTAGTCTAAACAAGCTGACCAGCGTGTCCAGACATCAACATATTAATGTTACAATTAAACAATTTCACTTAAAGTAGGAATATTTTACCTGCTGAGTTCTGGTTCTGCTGCTGGCCTGTGACCCACGGACTCCTCAGCGCACTGACGGCGAGCTGCACTGATCATCTGACTGAGATAATGTGCAGATGTTCTGATGGGAATCTTTATTTGGTTGTGTTGTTACCTCTGCGATGTTCTCTGTAACGTTTAAAATGTCTGCGCACCTGTATGCGTCAGAGTACTACCAGTCTGTCAGAATGACTAACAGCCTTGAGATGTTTCCATCTAAAAACAAAAGCGGCAACACGACCCCTGCCTACGTTCAACCTTTTTGCCTTCTTGTGAAGATTGTTGCAAAGCTACAGAGAAACTAACTCAACAGAGCTGCGCCATTAACTCCGTGACTATAAACGGGGAAAAATAAAGAACTAGAACCCTTTTCTTACCTTTTCAACATTGTTTATTGGAAAGTTTCTGTCAGTACAAAGTTTAATAACAAAGATCTATTTCCAGAACCATTTAAACATGTTCCAAACGCAGACGCGCGTCAAGAAGCCGCACCTGCTCAACTATAATGGAACGTAAAACCAGTGAATAACATCAGAGTATTTTAGGTACAGCTGCTACATCTGTCGTTATTTTGCTTCTTGTAATTGTGTCATCTGGCATAGCAGCCCTTCACACAGCACAAGTGTACCATTTTCTGCAGGTTTATAAGCTCACAACACACACAGCGACTAATGTTCCCATTGTTTATACACCTAGCTATCCCATCATGCAAGGCGTTACAGCACCCGATATGTCCTCTGACAAAGCCTGATGGGGCAGAATTTTTGTATTTTTGTACTGGACAACATATCTTGGGTGTAATTTTTTACTAGGTGAAATTTTCTATTAATTTTAGCTCTTAGAAAAAAGATGTCCAGAGGTCGCGCTAGTAATTTTGGTAAAATATTTGTTGCAACAGTCTGCCATAAGCTGCTGGCCATAGCGAGACAGGTACGGCTGCTGACCTGAAGACCGCAGATCCACACCGACTGGTCTGCAGCTGTCGTCTCTACCATCGACACCTTGATCAAGGAAGTCAAGACACAAAAGGTCATCGCTAGAGAGGCTGGCTGTTCACAGAGCTCTGTGTCCAAGCACATTAATAGACAGGTGAAGGACAAGATGTGGTAGAAAAACATGAAAAAGTAAGAGAGATAACCTCACCCTGGAGAGGATTGTGAAACAAAACCCATTCAGAATGAGGGGGAGACTCACAAAGAATGGACTGCAGCTGGAGTCAGTGCTTCAAGAACGATCATGCAAAGACATGTGCAACACTGCTGGGGAAGATGACCTCCATCTTTTTAAAAAAAAAAAACCTCCCACCCACTGCATCCCACTGGAGACCATGGACAGCTCCTACAGAGGCAGACTGAGACATCCCAGATGTAAAACAGCAGGCTACCGTAGGTCATTCATCCCCTCTGTAGTTTAACTCCCCCGTTAAACTGGTACCGGCATTATCTTGTTACACAATATAACATTAATGTAATATTCAGTATGTGTTCAATACCTGTGCAATACCTGATTAACATAGTACATCTGTGTCCCTTACAGTGCTGGAACCCAAGTTTGTCATTTTTTATTTGTGGTTTTTAGTGGTTGAGGGTTACAATACTAGACTTCTGCTGATGTGTGTGCACATGAACCGTTGTTATTATTTTTCTTCTAATTATTCTCTTACGTGTTGGTGCTGCTGTAACAAGTGAAATTCCCCACTGTGGGATCAATAAAGTCTATTCCAAGACCTGGTTTCAGCTGTCGCTTTCCTTGTGTCAAGCCACTCTTGAACACTAGACAGCGTCAGAAGTGTCTCGCCTCGGCTAAAGACATAAAGGACTGGACTGTTGCTGAGTGGTCCTGAGTTATGTTCTCTGGTTAAAGTAAAATTTGCATTTCCTTTGGAAATCAAGGTCCCAGAGTCTGGAGAACGAGAGAAGAGGAACAGAATCCATGTTGCTAGCGGTCCTGTGTAAAGTTTCAGTGATGGTTTGGGGCGCCATGTCATCTGCTGGTGATGGTTCATTGTGTTTTCTAAGGTCAAAGGTCGACGTAGCCATCTACCAGGTGGTTTTAGAGCACTACATGCTTCCTGCTACTGACCAACTTTATGGAGATTCTGATTTTCCAACAGGACTTGACATCTGCACACAGCGTCAAAGCTGCCAGTACCTGGTTTAAGCACCATGGTATCCATAGCTCTTGGTTGGCCAGCAAACACGCCTGATCCTAATCCCATAGAAAATGTATGGAGTATTGTGAAGAGGAAGATGTAATATGCCAGACCCAACAATTCAGAAGAGCTCAAGGCCACTATCAGCACAACATGGGCTCTTATAAAACCTGAGCAGTGCCACAGATTAATCTGTGCTGCAGTAATCCAGGCCAAAGGAGCCCAACTAAATATTGAGTGCTGTATACGTACTCCTTCTTTTCAGTTTGCCAACATTTCTGAAATTCCTTTTCTTGCATTAGACTTAATTATTGTTCTAATATTCTGAGATACTGAATTCAGGATTTGCATTAGTTGTCAGTAATAATCATCAACATTAAGAAAACAAACATTTGAAACATATCAGTCGGTGTGTAATAATCTTAACGAATTCTATTTTTATGACCGGCACTTGTGCAAACAAAACGCGACAACACTAGCACTTGTACAGTCAGTGCCGGTTTTTATCTTTTGGACACATGTTTAGGTTCAGAACAGTCTCTGGAAGTGAACACCTGCAGCTCTTCAGCCCCCCCACCCTGCAGCTCTGCTCCTTTAGCTTTGATTGGTGAAATATCAAGAACAGGTTTGCTCAGGCAGTGGAGCCGCTGCAAAGGTAAGAAGAAAATCATTACCAGTTATCTTGAAATATCACAAGAGCTCGAAATTTCAATTAGGTTGTTGTTGTAGATTTACAGGCTAGCTAGTGTGACTCAAGTAAATGTTGAGAGTTGAGATGTGCAAATAAATAACCATCCCACCTGACTGAGGGCACCAGTCCCAGTGCCCAGTTTGTAGATTGCCCATCCTGGTACTAGCAGGATTGAAGAGAGTGCCATTATCCAGCCCAGTACATAGGCCCAGGATGGGTACACATACCAGCGATTGAAGGTCAGAGGTTGGTACTCAACTAAAGAATATATAAAAGATCCCTAAAAACACAAAACAACCAGTTCAGAAGTTGAACTTGTCATATTGACCCAAAGAGAGAGAGAGAGAAGGGTCACCAGTGAGACCAGCGGTGTGAGGTAGAGCCAGCAGACTCTGAAGTATGAGCTGATGTTCTCGCCCGTCATCTCCTTTATGATGCCATACAACCGCTCTGCTCCTAAAACGTCAGGTCAGAACGCATTACAGCATTATCAGATCATACCACATGTGTGTCCAACAAGAGAAAGGAAGCCTAGTTTCTTTTAGGGTTTTATTCATGAGTACGTTATAAAAAAGATCTGGGAATAAAGCTTGCTAATGCACAAAAAGTGGTCTGGAAAGCTGTGTTCATCACTTTCTACGCAAATTTTGTGATTAATGGAAAAAAAAACATGACAAACACAGTTAGTGTTGGGTAATTTAATCTATGTTCGGTAATTTAATTTAGCATTATTCACTATTATGTTGCGTATTTTAACTTATACTATTGTTCTTATATTACCTTAAACTTAAATTACCTTAAAGGAAGTCAGAACACCCACACAGAGGGATTAGATTCTTAAATTGGTAAATTGTAACAAACCTTAAACAGACAACAAACTCTGCAAAGTGTGTGACACTCTGCAGAGGGTGAGAGAATCAGACCATACAACACGGAAGCCATTTTCCTCTCACAAAGGAGCTGGAGCTCATGGAGGGGTTTTTATTGAATACAAAATGTTCACACCCAAAATGTTCACACCCACAAATTCCACAATCACAAGAGAAGTTTCTAGATTTGAGCTAATTTTCCTACCTGACCAGTTTGCTTTTAACTAATGGAAAACACTTTGGCCTTAGAATGCACAGGACAAAGGAAAACTTCAGATACTGGATCAAAATGCCTAAAGCAGAAAGGAGTTTCTGAAAACACCCAAACGTAAAAACAAATAACTAGTTATTGGGTTTTTCCTAACCACATTTAAGTAGTAAAGGTGAATGAACTCTTCACATAGACAAAGGAAAATATTTCACAACAATAATGAACAATTAAAAATACCTAACAGTTAGCCCCCATCCCCATCTCTGATAATCTTTCTTGACAAACAGTTTACTTACCAAACACCCATCCAAGAGCCAAAGTTTCAAACACACTGAGGAAGAGGATGCAGGCTCCATTACACGCATAGTAGTCAAACATCTGGAATACATACATCCCTCCCTGCAGATAATTAGAGATTTAAAAAATGTCCTTTAAGGTCAATTTTAAAAGAACACGTGTTTTTCTTAAATAACCAGACCAGTCAATTAAATTATCCACATCAGGTTAAGAAATTTCCGTTGAACACAAAATACTGACTTCAGTGATCATGACAAGCTGAGAGAAGAAGCAAATGAGGCAGAAAAGGAGGAGGAATCTCTCCCGTCGTCCAGCTCTGCGCATCAGACTTGGAAACATGTCTATGATGGACGTTATCATCGCCTCCATGGCCACAAACTGTAAAGAAAAATAATTCAAAGTACATTTCCAACTGACAAAGCAATCCCTTAAAAAGGAGAACTGCTCCAATCGAGCGTTTTACTTGTGTGTCCAGGCCCAAGAGGATGAGCATGATGAAGAAGCAGATGGACCACAGTTGGGGTACAGGCATCATGGCTACAGCCTGAGGGTATGCAATGAACGCCAAGCCTGGACCTTAAAAAAGAAAAGATAAAAGCACTAAACCAAATCTTTTTTACGATTAGGCCAGGTCTGTTAAGATGTTGCTGCTGAACGAGGATGATGTTTGCTAAAGATTCTGATTCACTTCGAGCTGTTTTTACCATGTGAGCTACTTTTAAAATGAGCGATTCAAAGAGCTTGACAGGGTTACCACACGATTCAAGAGTGGTGATCAACCGCATAATTACCAGTGAGGAGGGGAGGCAAAGGACACAAAATTACCAAACAGTAGGGGCAGAGCACGAACAAAGTAAGCCTGGGATTGCTTGGGCGGATTAAGTTAAAGGAACGCTAAGCAGGTTTGGCTAGCTTTTAGCACCCCTTAGTGCGTGTTTGTAAAACTGAAAGCTAAACGTATCTCCTCACTGTGCATTCGTCTTCTGAACAGCTGAAATGTCTCCCAGCCTTCCTTAGTGTCTGAAGGAGTGAGTCATCACTAAATGAAACACATCAGCTGTGTTCATGATCTAAAACATGCTGGAAGCAGACTGCAGCACAGGTCCAAGTACACCAGATTGGACCGGCAACTGTAAATTTGCAAGTGGAATATTCTGGCCACAGGGGGCGATAGGGGCATGGGGGCGTTTCATTAACCCTGTAAAGTGTCATTTTAGCACATCCTGGCTCAAAAAATTATTTAGAAACATGAAAAAGTTGTAAAGTACCCCTTTAATTTTGGGCTGAATTGGGCTCAGACCAGAGGTGGAAAGAGTACTAAAATGTTGTACTTAAGTACAAGTATAATTACTTTCATGAAATTTTACTCAATTACAAGTAAAATTACCTGCCTCAAAATGTACTCAAGTAAAAGTAAAAAGTAGCTTATTTCAAATGTAGTCAGAGTAAAAGTTACTTAGTTACTTTTTTGACTGTGCAAGGACGGGCTCTTCTGAATAGTTAAAAAAAAGACAATGGGGTATAAATGTCAAAGTGGTCGTTTTTTTATTAAATGAACAAATATGCATACTGAAGTACAAAGGCAGTTAAACTGCAAACTAGTAACATAAATTAGGTTATAGTCACAAGCCCATGACTTCCCTGAATGCTTATTTAGAGCAGCTGATTTTTAAAGTTAGCAGAGTTCATCTTTGGTAGTGGGTTCACTCACTCATTTAAAGATATCGGCCAGAGGCAAAATTTGTTTGAACAGCATGTGTAAATGTGTATTAAAATCTCAGATGAAAAAGGTTTTTGGATTTTGATGGCTGGAATTGTAAGAAAATCTGATGTTTGTGACTGGCACAGGAAAAACAGAAACTAACGTCCGGTCTAAGCCCTGGGCAGTGTCACGATGATCGACTGGGTACGGGAGTTGAACTCGGTAAGGATGTTTGACGTCTGGATTATTCGGTAGAGAACTCTGATCAGGGGTTTCAATGAAACGATGACTGAGTGAAGAGCCGGTGCGGCGTCTTCCATATATAGGCTTGGGTGTGACTGGGAGAATGCCGGGAGTTCCCGCGAGGAGCATGCTGGGAAATGTGGTCCAAGATGGAGGCCGGTTAGCTGGGAGAGGCCGGTTTGGGGGCTTGGGTTCTGACAGGACCCCCCGGTCCAGGGACGGCTCCAGAAGTCCCAGGGCGACCTCGGCGGTCCCAGAAGTCAGAGACAAGGGCAGGGTCCAAGATGGAGCGGGCCGGCTCCCAGGAGCGTTCCTCAGGGCCGTAGTCCGCCCAATCGACCAGATACTGCCAGCCCCGTCCCCTGCGGCGAGCGTCCAGGATGCGCCGGACGGTGTAGATGGGCTCACCGTCGAGGAAGCGGGCAGGCGGAGGCGCCGGAGCCGGAGGCGGAAGGAGGGAGGATTCCACGTAGGGCTTGAGCCGGGAGATATGGAAGGTGGGATGGAGGCGGAGACTCGCAGGCAGCCGCAGCCGGTACGTGACCGGGTTGATGACCCTTTGCACGGGGTAAGGCCCAAGGAACCGGGGAGCGAGCTTCCTGGACCCGGCACGGACACGGAGGTCTGCCGTGGACACCCAGGCCTTATCCCCTGGAGCATATGAGCGACCAGGACGGTGTCGGCGGAGGTGTTGGTGAGAGTAACGGGCGTTAGCTCGGGTTATGGAGGCCCGCGCCTTTATCCAGGCGTTCCTGCAGCGCCTCACCAGGGATTGAGCGGCCGGCACCGCAACTTCGGGTTCCTGGTGGGCAAAGACCGGGGGCTGGTAGCCATAGCAGACTTCGAACGGGGACATCAGAGTGGCTGAGGAGGTGTGGAGATTGTGGGATAACTCAGCCCAGAGGAGGTACTTAGGCCACTGCGAGGGTTGGGCCGAGACAAAGCAGCGGAGGTACCGACCCAGTTGTTGGTTTGCCCGCTCCGTTTGGCCGTTGGTCTGCGGGTGATAGCCCGAAGATAGGCTGACTGATGCTCCCAACAGATGACAAAAAGCCCTCCAGAACCGGGCCGTGAACTGGGGACCACGATCCGAGACCACGTCGACAGGAAATCCATGGAGACGCACCACATTCTCCAGGAACAACTCAGCTGTGCGTCGGGCCGAGGGGAGGCCCGGAAGGGCGATGAAGTGAACAGCCTTAGAAAACCGGTCAGTGACCGTCATGATGGTATTAAGGTCGTTGACTGGTGGGAGCCCTGTGACGAAGTCCAACCCCACATGGGACCAGGGGCGGCTGGGTACCGGAAGAGGTCTGAGGGTACCAACCGAGGCCTGGTTGGATGTCTTGGAGCGGGCGCAGACGTCACAGGCACTCGTATAGTCCTTTACATCTCTCTCCATACGTGGCCACCAGAGAGCTCGTTTGAGGAACCTAAGAGTCCGTGAGAAGCCCGCGTGGCCAGACAGGCGTGATGAGTGGGCCCAGGACAATGCCTCGCTGCGACAGGCCGTGGGGACGTAGAGCCGACCCGCGGGGGTCTCTGGAGGTGCTGGATCGTCTCGGAGGGCGTTTTGGATAGCCTCCTCCAGTGGCCACCTCAGGTGGGCCAAGAAACGGTGCTCGGGGAGGATAGGTGCCGGCTCGGACGTGGGCGTTGGATGTGTGAACTGGCGGGAAAGGGCGTCCGCCTTCTGGTTCTTTTTCCCTGGGCGGTAGGCGAGATGGAATTCATAGGGCTCAAAGAAGAGGGCCCAGCGGGCCTGGCGAGGATTGAGCTGCTTGGCTGATCTGATGTGGGTCAGGTTCTGGTGGTCCGTCCAGATGGTGAACGGCTGAGTGGTGCCCAGTAGCCCCTGCCTCCATTCCTCCAATGCCCACTTTATGGCCAGCAGCTCGCGATCCCCTACGCCGTACTTCTGCTGGGTGGTGGAAAACTTCCTGGAGAAGTAGGCGCAGGGATGAAGCCTGTCGTCGGGCCCGGCTTGGGACAAGATGGCACCGGCGCCAACATCCGAGGCGTCGACCTCGACCACAAAGGGGACTGCATGATCCGGATGGCGGAGGATAGGAGCCGACGTAAAACGGGCGACTAGGTGTTGGAAGGCCCGAACGGCGTCTGGAGTCAGCCGGAACGGTTGGCTCGGAGGGCTTGGTCGGGTGAGAGAAGTGAGAGGTGCCACAATGGTGCTAAAGTCCTTAATAAAACGGCGGTAAAAGTTGCAGAAACCCAGAAAACTCTGCAGTTGTTTCAGGCTCGTCGGGAGGGGCCAGTCTCTCACCGCCTGGACTTTCTGAGGGTCCATGGTTAGTCCTTTATCTGAAATCATGTAGCCCAGGAATGATACGGACCGCTGGTGGAAGGAGCACTTCTCGGGCTTACAGAACAGGTTATTGTCCAGGAGCCGGGTTAGAACAGCACGAACATGGTGGAGGTGTTCGGCCTCGGACTTGGAGTAGATCAGGATGTCATCCAGGTAGGCAAACACCCACCGTCCCAACATGTCGCGGAGGACATCGTTTATGAGGCGTTGAAAAACGGCGGGGCTATTGCACAGCCCGAAGGGCATGACCTGGTACTCCCAGTGACCGGTGGGTGTGATGAAAGCGGTCTTCCACTCATCTCCAGCTTTAATACGGACCAGATTGTAGGCGCTCCGGAGGTCCAGCTTGGTGAAGATCCGCGCCTGGGAGATGGCGTCCAGGGCAGATGTGAGGAGCGGCAGAGGATGACGGTCTTTGACTGTGATTTTGTTCAGACCTCGGTAATCGATACAGGGGCGGAGATCACCCTCCTTTTTCCTGACAAAGAAGAAGCCTGCGGCACCCGGGGAGGAGGAAGGTCGAATGAAACCCTGCTGGAGGGCCTGGTCAATATATTCCTCCATGGCTCTGGACTCGGCGGGAGAGAGAGAAAAAAGGCGCCCCCGGGGTGGACTGGTTCCTGGTTGCAGCTTGATTTCCATGTCGTACGGGCGGTGAGGCGGCAGTGTGGTGACGCGCCGCTTGTCGAACACCGCAGCCAGGTCCCGGTAGGGCAGTGGCAGATTGGGCGGTGTTTGGCCAGTGTCACCGTCCGAGCGGTCTGGCATGGATGTAGGAGGAGAGAGGTGGGCCTGGCACTGGGTCCCCCATTCCAAAATGCGGCCCTGGGACCAGGAAATCCGGGGGTCGTGGAGACGGAGCCAGGGAAATCCCAGGATTAGAGGAGAGGAGGGAGCACATATGATCAGGAACTGGAGGGTCTCTTGGTGGCCTTGGACAATCATCTGGAGTGGCTGGGTTCGGTTTTGGATCGGATAGGGTTGGAGGGGCCTACCGTCCACCGAGGTCACAGGCACAACTCTCTCCAAGGGGGTCATGGGGATCCGTAGGCGCTTAGCCAGATCCATGTCCATAAAATTGTCAGCGGCCCCCGAGTCCAACAGCGCGTGCATCTGAAGTGAGGTCTCACCATGAAGGAGGGTAACATGAAGAAGGAGTCGATTTGAAGAGGCGGGGGCTGAAGGTGACCCAGGCTGAGCGACCCCGATACTCAGTGGGTTCCTTCGTTTCCCAAACATAATGGACAGTTCAGGCGTCTGTGGTGGGAGGAGCCACAATAGGCACAGAGACCCTCGCGCCACCGTCGCTGTCTCTCCTCTGGAGGAAGGTGGCCTGATTGCATGGGCTCATCAGTAGAAGCGGGTCCGGGAGCAGGCGTGGGGGAACGAGGAAGAGGGCCAGGTGCCCTGGATGGGCGAGTGAAGGGCTTGGGCCGAACCAGAACCCACTGATCCATGCGCAGCGCCAAATCGACCACTTCATCCAGGGTCTGGGGCAGTTCCTTTCCCGCCATCTCATCACGGATGTAGGTCGCCAGTCCCTCCAAGAAGACGGCTCGGAGGGCACAGTCATCCCACCGCAGCTTGGCGGAGATGGTGCGGAACTTCGACGCATAAGCGCACACCGTGCGCTCCCGCTGGCGGAGCTTTAGGAGTTGTGTTTCTGCTCCCACTTCGCTGCTGGGTGGAACAAAAGTCTTTCTGAGGGCGGACACAAAAGCAGCATAGTCATTGCAAGCCGGTGATTTGGAATTATAAAGCGCAGCGGCCCACTCAGCCGCGCGTCCGGAGAGCAGGGAGGTGAGATGCGCCACCCGAGAGCGCGCAGTGGGGAAGCGCCCTGGCTGGCACTCAAACTGCATGTCGAGGGTGGCGAGCAGACCGTCTGGGCTCCCCGTCTCTCCGTTCCACCTCTCTGGGAGACTAAAGTGCAGCCCCTCTGTTGGTGGAGCGAGGGCTTGCTGCTGGAGAGCATGGAGGGCTGTGGATAATTGTAGGATGAGATCGGTCTGGGAGTTTTGTTTGGTGTGGAGCCGATCGATCAGGGCGTGGAGCTGAATGAGTTCATTTTCCATTTGCTCCGTCTTTCTTTTCATGCGCTCGAACTCCGCTGGATCTACGGACTCAGTCATCCTGTCACGATGGTCGACTGGGTACGGGAGTTGAACTCGGTAAGGATGTTTGACGTCTGGATTATTCGGTAGAGAACTCTGATCAGGGGTTTCAATGAAACGATGACTGAGTGAAGAGCCGGTGCGGCGTCTTCCATATATAGGCTTGGGTGTGACTGGGAGAATGCCGGGAGTTCCCGGGAGGAGCATGCTGGGAAATGTGGTCCAAGATGGAGGCCGGTTAGCTGGGAGAGGCCGGTTTGGGGGCTTGGGTTCTGACAGGCAGCAGTTGACGTTTCACAAGGAGCTCTGCTGAAACAGCTGTAGTAAACAACGCCTGGCTCCGCTGTTTCTGCGTTAGCGTTATAGCAGAGAACAGTGTGTCATCAATCAGATGTAGCTTCTGAAGCCTCTACTGGTCGGTCAGATTTGTTTTTTCTCTGGGATACGGCGACGAGAACGGATGTTAGATTACTGGAGAAGTTCAACCGAACTCCGACCCCGCCAGCTGGATATCACTACCAGAGGTGCAGACATGTTTTAGACCGTTTGACTCAGAAGACCTGCGACCTGATTTGGACATAGAGGAGGATTCTGTTCATCTTCAGAACCAAAATCGGTACAGTTTGTTTACTTTTCTTAAATATTTCATTTCTGTGCTCCACTGGAAGCTCTAAGCTGACAAGTTTTCAGCTGGTTTTAGCTCCATCATGTGTCCCAATATAGTTCAGTAATCTACAGTTTTACTGCTGTGTGTATTTATTGACATAACTCTGGAAAATAATGAACCTACAATTTACCAGAATAAATCTTCCTGATGCTGGAGTAACTCCTTAGCTCAACTCGTTGTTTGCACTAATCCAGGATGTCATGGAGGTTCTAATGTTGAAATATAGAGATCATCTTTTAGATTATATCTGTGTGTGTGTGTGTGTGTGTGTGTGTGTGTGTGTGTGTGTGTCGTAGCCTTTCCCAAAGGACTTGTTCTTTCCTTACCGGAGCGAACACGGTTAGTTTTGCTGCAGTCATGCTAACGGGACTCGTCTAGAGTCCAGAAGTAGCGGTGCGGTTCTAGATGGATTTATAGATGTAGGTTATTATTTTAGATCAGACCTGTTATTTAAAAATGCGTGTAGGACACAGACACGGCTCAGACCTTTTGCTGCAGCTGTAAACGCAATTTTACGTAATAATTAGGAGCATGAAAGTAAACAAACAGTGATTCACAATATTAGCATCAGCAGCTAGCTTGTTTTACGTGCTGGAGTGACGTATGCGAAACACAGTTCTTCACTGTCGGGAGGAGAGGATTTGGATTTTCTTTAATGATTTATGACAAAAGTTCTTAATAAAATAAAAAACTGGACCCAGTACATGTTTATATAGATAATAAAGTGTAGTTATTTTGCATTTCTACAATTTTAATGTCGAGCCAACACCTTTAACCCTTCACCACTGAAATCAGTTTGTTCATTCCAATCCTCCTAAATAATCCTCCAATCATCCAACTGGAATCCTTAAGGGTCCCGTAACGTCCATCCTGTCAGAACAGGCCTTGGGAGCCCAGGTGTTACTAGAACTAATGGTGTCTCCTCACCAGCGTGAGCCTCCAAACTGTGAAGGTTGGTCTCCAAACATGAACTTCAAATTCATGCATTTATCTCCTCTTCTAACACTTTAACATGTTTTAAAAGGCTTGTATCATGATAAGTTACACCTCCCAGACCAAAGATAGGTCCAATATAAGATAAAACATTATCATAAACACTGCAGAGACATCATTGTTTATTAAATACAAGTTATTTTCCTGAGCCATTACTTCAGCCAAGATATAGGATGCATGGATTTGATGAAACCATGCTGTCTTATGCAGTCCCACACACACACACACACACACACACACACACACACACACACACACACGCACGCACACGCACACACACACACACAGCAGCATGTTAGAATCATGTGAATGACTAATTTAACTACACTGAACTGCTTTTGTAATAATTTAATCTCTTATTCTGGAGTAAAATAAAGAAACAAGCTAAATCATCACATATCTGTGGCATCAAGAAGCATCTTCTGAGTTCAAACACAGGGATGGAGCACAATGTTTACACCTGAACAATATCAGGATTAACTCACAGAGGCCTGCAGGTCTTCTGTTTTATGAGCAGAGCGCTGATAATCGACTTCTTAGGAGCGCTAAACGTAATTTTGCCGCTTCAGTGCGCGGTAAGGAAACACATTTCAAACACGGAACCGAGTCTGGTTGCCGAACCGAGCAGAATTCTGATGACGTCACACCGGTGCGCGAAGGTTCGGGTTCCTACCCACAGGAGAGGAGGGAGAGAGGAATTCGAGTGGATCACAGGGACTGTACTGATGTTTTTGAGCAAAACTGCGGTAAAAATGGCTGTTTGTCCTCACCATAAAGCGTGTAGCCCCCCCCCTCCCCCGGTTTAGACGTGGCGCTCATGCAGGTGTCTCTTTCTGTTCCGACGCTGCTACACGTAATATTTTTAATTTATTAAGCCTATAATTTATTTTTACTCAGTAACGGATATGATTTAAAATGTAGCGAATTAGAATTCTTTTTTAAAAACTTACTCAAGTAAAAGTAAAAGTACAGATTTTAAAAACGACTTAAAAAGTATAAATTTACAAAAAAGCTACTCAATTACAGTAACGTGAGTAAATGTAATTCGTTACTTTCCACCTCTGGCTCAGACTAAAGAGAGAAAGGGAAAAAAACATGTCTAGTGAGTAACATGGTTTATCCAAGGCTCTCCCAGCTGCCAAGACGAGTGCTGTATGGCAGCTGGCAGCGAGAGGAACTTTAGGGGCGAGGATGCACCTTAGCGCCTCAAACCACACACTGAAGATGCATTATTATTCATCCACGGTGTGTTGAAGACCACTTTATGGAAGTTGCATGTAACGATGTGCGGAGATGCTGCTGCAGTGGCGCGTCGATGGGCTGGTCAGGTGAGTGGGATATGCAGCGTTGTCTAGCGATCGACCTGTCGATCATGATTGACATGAGTACTGGCACCCCTGTGTAACTGCAATTATCCTGGACCTAATAGAGGCCATCAGTAAATCCGACACCTGTAAAAAGATGGAGTCCACTTTCTACATTTGAAGCTTCTCCATATTGTTCTCTTTTTAGCGCACTAGCCAGGTGGTGAAAGATCTGAACACACGTACTGCTGCAACAAAAAGTCTTGTTCTTTGTAATATTTCTGCATACATACCTGATTCAGCCACCTCTTCAATGGGAATGCCTTGCTCATGAGCCATGAATCCCAGCACAGAGAAGACTGCAAACCCGGCTATGAAACTGGTAGCACTGTTCAGTAGACACAGCCACAGGCAGTCTCTACAAAACACAACATACGCTTGACACATCATTTTAATGTTGTTTGGGAAAGTCTACACCTAAAAAGCTCATGTTGGAGTTGTATTCATACCTGTAGCAGTTGTTGTTGTATTTGTTATAACTGCCTAAAACAGTCAGGGATCCCACTCCAACACTGTATGAGAAGAAAATCTGAGCCCCAGCTTCCATCCACACCTGCACAAAGACCAGCAGCAGTGAGCACGTGTGTTTACCTTACGTAAGTGGTTCACTGTTAGGTTCTAACCTGAGGGTCTGTGAGCCGTGATGGATCAGGCAGAAGATAAAACATCACTCCTTCAAGAGCTCCGGGTAGAGTGAGTCCTCGAATCAGAAGTATAAACAGCATCATGTAGGGGAAGGTGGCAGTAAAATACACCACCTAGAAAAAGTAAAAACCTGTTCAAAGCTTATCATTTATTTACTTGTGGCAGTTTGTGCTGTAAAGTTTTACCTTTCCTGTGGACTTGACCCCTTTCCAGATGCAAAAGTAACAGATCACCCACATCACAACAAGACACAGCAGCACCTCCCACCTGACCGAGCCCAACTCCTCGATCCCCCCTGAGATGGCCAGCACTCGCTGTCTAGTAGGGACAAGAACAGATTCCTCACCAAGGATTGTTTTAGTGTTGCATTTGTGCTTAGTCACCTTTACAGACATACTCCCAGAATTCTGTAGCCGCTGAGGTCGAATCTGTCCTGTTGGTCCACGGAACTGTCTCATTTCTTGCTGAAAAGTCTAAACACACATCTGAACATATGATGTTGAGATAATTTAATAGGTTTAGTGATTAAATTTTTTTATGTTGATTCGAGACAAACGTTTGCATTTTACCCGTGTTCCAGTAGTTGCTGCAGCTGGCCCAGGGGAGCTGGGAGCTGAAGGAGAACACGAGGTAAAGCAGAGCCCAAGAGAGAATAATGATGTAAGTCATACAGCTGTAGAAGAGGATCAGCTGCCCACCATAACCTATACCTGCAGACAAGAACACGAGGAAACAAATAGTGTTTCAGTCATGTGACTTTATAAGCAATGCTTATGTAACGCTAATATAAATAACACCCGCGTTTCACTTGCATGAATAAAATTTGTTTAGTAAGAAAAGACGTGTTAGGGTGAGTTGGACCAGGAAACGTTTTGCTTTCTCTGCCACAGAATATAAAGTTGAAGAGTTTACCTTCAGCTAGAGGACACAGCTTCCTCCAGCAGGTGATGCCACCCTCCTGAGTGTACTGCCCTAGGACTGTCTCCAGCAGGAACAGAGGAACTCCACAGGTCACCGCAAAAACCAGATAAGGCACCAAAAATGCACCTGAATTTACAAAGTACACAAAACTGAGTGCATCTTACATGCACTTGCCCTAACCCTCCCACTGTCCTAATGGGTGTGACCCCGCCAGGAAAATTGACCATTGAGCAGGGTTGATGGTTTATCCCTTGGGCCCATGTGGCAGGGGTGAGGAGTGAGCACCACCTCACCCCTGCCTCGTGGACCTCAAGGGATTGTAATGAAGCGATCTTCATTACAGGGTTTTTTATTGGATGAGTGTGAAGCGGCTGGGATGAGGATCAGCACCTCCAAATCTGAGACCATGGTTCTCGACCGGAAAAGGGTGGCTTGCCAACTCCGGGTCGGGGGAGAGGTCCTACCTCAAGTGGAGGAGTTTAAGTATCTCGGGGTCTTGTTCACGAGTGAGGGTAGGAGGGATCGGGAGATCGACAGGCGGATTGGTTCGGCGTCTGCAGTGATGCGGACGCTGAGCCGATCTGTCGTGGTGAAGAGGGAGCTGAGCCAGGAAGCCAGGCTCTCGATTTACCGGTTGATCTACGTCCCAATCCTCACCTATGGTCATGAGCTTTGGGTAATGACCGAAAGAACGAGATCGCAGATACAAACGGCCGAAATGAGTTTCCTCCGTAGGGTGGCCGGGCTCAGCCTTAGAGATAGGGTGAGGAGCTCGGACATTTGGGAGGGACTCGGAGTAGAACCGCTGCTCCTCCGGATCGAAAGGAGCCAGTTGAGGTGGCTTGGGCATCTGGTCAGGATGCCTCCTGGACGCCTCCCCGGGAAGGTGTTTTGGGCATGTCCTGCCGGTAGGAGGCCCCTGGGTTGACCCAGGACACGTTGGAGAGGTTACATCTCCAATCTGGTCCGGGAACACCTTGGGGTCCTGCCGGAGGAGCTAGTGGAGATGGCCGGGGAGAGGACGGTCTGGAGCTCCTTAGTTGGGATGCTGCCCCCGCTACCCTGACCCAGATAAGCAGAGGAAGACGACGGCGGCGACGACGATGAAATGGCCGGATGAAAGGAGTCCTGTGTGTGTGTGTGAGTGAGTGAGTCACATTGGAAACAAGGGGTGGCTGAGACAAATGCCTGAATGTGTGTAAAATGATGACTTCCTCTGTTGTAAAACGTGTATTCTGAATGGTTCAAAATGTGACACTAAGGAGAGGAAAGGAGAGGGGTTGAAAGGGATATCTGTGTGAGTGAGTGAGTGAGTGAGTGAGTGAGTGAGTGAGTGAGTGAGTGAGTGAGTGAGTGAGTGAGTAAGCAAAGGGGTAGGCTAATGAGCTGATGAGAAAAATATCTCTATGGATGCATGAGCACTCCCTTTGTTGTAAATTTAACACTAGGATGAGGAGAGGAGGGGCGGAGAGGGGTGGCTGAGACAAATGTCTGTATGGATGCTGAATGGTTTAGAGTTGGTAACCCTAAATTCTTTACTTGTCTTAGAGAGTCAGGCATTTTCTGAAAGGGGGAAGTGCCTTAAATGTGTGTGTGTGTGTGTGTGTGTGTGTGTGTGTGTGTGTGTGTGTGTGTGTGTGTGTGTGTGTGTGTGTGTGTGTGTGTGTGTGTGTGTGAACTGACAACTTCATTGTGAAGTGACACTGTGTGCTGAAACTGATTAATACCTTTTAAAGAGCTGACCAGGGTTGGAGGGAGGGATGAGGGGTATTATGTATGAAAGGGAGGGGCTGTGGGAACTGTGGGGTGAGGTATTCTAACACAGAAGAGTTATCAATCCTAACTTGATGTAAAGTGGTGCAGATTGAATACATCAAAGCAGATCATCAATATACATCTCGACAGAAGGGGACTACAATCAATAACTTCATGGGTCATTACACAACATTTATCAATTCATTTCTGGACATATGGGGTCATTAAAGGTCATGTCACAAAAGGTCATAAAACAATACACCTGTCAAGTTTGATGTAAGGTGGTTTGGGGGAAAGGTCATAAAGGTCAAAGAACAATAGACCTGTCAAAAATTGTGACAAAGGGTGGTTCCTTCATCTCTCTAGTCTCTCTGACCACCACTAGCAGGCAAGGTGGGTTAAATGTCCTGCCGAAGGACACGAGTGCGACAGACAGGGCTCGAACTTGCAATCCTCCGGTCACCAAGAGGGCACCTAAATCCTCTGCCACCATCACCCACAGTAAAAAATTTCTAGGCTTTTGCAAGTGAAGATATACCTCTACTTTCCACTGGACGCAAAGGAGTCACCAAATGGCCACAAAACGTACTTCACGGCAATTAGCTGCTGCTGTAGTGGACGCTTTCATTACGATTCAAGTCTATTTTTCACTCAATACGCTTCAAAAACACATCGAACTCCCAAGTTCAGATTGGGCAGACAGGAAGTCAAACACGAAAGCAGTGTATCTGGAAACTTTCAAAATAAAAGTCACGTCCAGTTAATTGTACATCACTTCCTGTGAAACATCTGTAGCCGAAGTTAACAGAACAGAAAAAAAACAACAGACCTTTTTGGATGCACACAGCCATCTTGTTATTTTGTGGACTTCCAAAATCACATGTGGTGTTGCAATTTTCCTGGTTAGATGGGAGCTTGCAAGTAAAACGCTTCTATTATGTTACACGTTGCTTTTGAGTCCGGTGGAAGGTAGGGGTTAGAGTCAAAAACCAGATGAAATTAAATGTCCTCAGAGGTAGTTCAGTAGCCTATAATTGTTAAATGAGAATCCAATTCTACACGGGTGGACATCCTGTTTGTTTCTGTAAACAAATTAGATTTCCTTCTGAAATGTCTTAGTTTTATGTGGTTTTAGATGGATAGAAATCAGGTTTGGCTTTCTTTACGATGGAGGCATATGATTCTGTAGATGTCTGAGTGACAACCAGTCTCCTTCCAGTTTAGCATTTCCGCCCAGGCAGCATCCCTGTCACTCATCAGATTAGTCAACAGAGGAGTAAACCATGGGTTATTTAGGTCTTAAACACAGACTTTTTCTGAATGGAGCATGTTTATTTACAATCTGATTAAAAGTGCAATGATGTTCTGTGTCACAAGCGTGCCGGTGAGTGAAACGGAGGTGAGGATCCACACGCAGGTGAGGAAGGAGGCAGGCAGGCAGGCAGGCAGGCAGGCAGGCAGGCAGGCAGGCAGGCAGGCAGGCAGGCAGACAGACAGACAGACAGACAGACAGACAGACAGACAGACAAGAACATTTAAAACAAGGATTTAATCAGGAACACGCAGGACAATGAAACAAGGAACCAACAAGAGACGCAGAACTGAAGGGGTTTAACTACATGAGGGCTGGGAGTTTGGGTGATTGGAAAACGAGAGGCAGATGGGAGCAATTAACAGAGGAGACACATGACTGAACAGAATGGGGAGACAGGACAGGGTGTGACATTCTGCTTAGTTGTGGTGGCCTCATGGAGGGGGCCATCGGCTTGAACACTGTTGATAACCATTTAAACATTCTCCCACTCCAGATAATAACATTTTACTTTCTTTGACATTGAATGTGCTACTACTAGTTTACCCGTTTAATGATAGATCCACCAGGATAAATACAATAAAGTTTATCTCTCACCAAATAGAATATTTACTAAGAAATCACAATGTAACCATAGACACATTACTTGGTATATTTGTTGTGTGTGTGTGTGTGTGTGTGTGTGTGTGTGTGTGTGTGTGTGTGTGTGTGTGTGTGTGTGCGTGCGTGCGTGCGTGCGTGAGTGTGTGTGTGTGTGTGTGTGTGTGTGTGTGTGTGTGCCCGCTTTGTCTTCTCGATCCCCAGTGAGTCGTGGAGGAGGGCTGCTTATACTGATCCAGGATTCTCTGGAGGTTTCCTCCAGTTAAAAGGGAGTTTTCCTCTCCACTGTCGCTAAATGCTTGCTTAGTATGAGGATTGCTGTATAGTCACTGACACTAGTCAGTGACTTGATGCAATTTGCTGGGTTCCTTATATAGGAAACATTTTTTTTCTGACTGGCTTAATGAAATGACCTGAATTGGAATGTTTACTATGTGAAGTGCCTTGAGATGACTCGTCGTGATTGGGCGCTCTATAAATAAACTTGAATTGAATTGAATAGAATAGAAAGTATCATAGAATAACCGCATGTTCTATACTGATGAAGTATATTCGCTCCTGTCTATGAGCCACAAAAGGTCTTGTTCACAGAAATGTTTAAGATCTCGTTCAGAAATGATTTTCTGTTTTGTTTTTGGTAGTTTGATAGTTAGCAAATACAACATCTGAGAATTTATGAGGAACGCTTGTTTAAAACCGGTCAGTGAGGGAAGATGTTCTGGATAATTAATATTTTGTCGAGCTGGATCTTTGATTAATTGAGTAGGGTCAAGTGAGTCGTAGGTAGACCTAAAAACACCAGCATGAGGTGACAGTCCATGAGGATGATCTCACTCAGGCGTCTTGTAAAGGTGTAATTGTTACTAAGTTAGATGTTCCTAAATCCTGATCAGACATGAGATACTTGGAATTCTGAGTTAACGCTAGTGAATCATCAATTGTTCTGCACAGAGCTTCGTTGTACTTTGGTCAATTGACTCTGGGCACAGAGAGCCTTTCCATGATGGTTGGAGCCATCTTCTAGTTTCACATGAAGCACTAGCTTAATCAGTTTGCAAAACTTTGAAATCCTGCTAGAAATTATTGAAGGACATCACTGGAAGTTGTGGAACATGACAGATTATTTACAGCATAACCATTCAAGTACTCTACATAATGTACAGGCCCTTCTTTCTGCTCTGCTTTATTGGAACTACTTTTGTATAATTTTTACTGCATATCTTGACTTTCTGAATCAACACTTCTTACCAGTTATGTTATTTGGATTATGAGTTTAACCCTCTCAGGCTCAAGATAAGTTTTGATAAAAGGACGAACGACTGAGTCTTTCAGGGGTACTTCTGAGTTAAAAATGCTCATGAAATACGTACGTGGAGTAACCAGGTAGGTTTTATCGTTGCAAATATGCAACGCCTGCCTCCAGAGTTAAGAGCAGTGAAAAGATTCAGTCATTTAAATCATAAATTCATCCTTATTTGCATTTGAACAAAGGAAATTCAAAAGCCCTCATCAGCTTACCGCCTCCATTTTTGTAGCAGAGGTATGGAAACCTCCAGACATTGCCGAGGCCGACAACATGTCCCCCCACAGCCAGGAGAAACTCCACCTTACTCCCCCAGTGCCCTCTCTCCTCCACCTCTGGTTGCATGAGTTTAGGTATTTATTTTCCCCCCAAATCCCACAACTTCTGACTAGACCTGAATGCTGATCTCCAGATGTACTTATATCCTCCACACATGTTGCTGGTTATTGAGCAACTGCCTGAAGAGTTAATCAGTTTCAGTTTCCAGAGGGAGTGAAGACCCCAGGATGAGATGCACTTCTTGCTGAAAAAAATCTTAGAAGGTTCCTGTATGACAATTTTTGTTTGAGATATTATAGTTTATTTCATGCATGTTCCTGTGTTTTTGCAGGTCTTTTCTGAGGACTGTTTGTCAAAACTGGTTCAATGTTTGTTATTTTTTAGAACAGTCGGGCCACAAAATAAGAGAAAAAGAGTTCAGCCATATTTTAAATAAGAAGCTACTTGAACTTTTCAGATCAGTTCATTTAATCTAAAAGGAGCAACGGCAGTTGGCAGGGGGATTACTCACCCTCATCCCAAGTGTCGGCGCCCGCTTCCAATTTTAAACTGCACTTAGACACTGAGGGCTGTGGGTGCAAGTGGGGTGGTATGGTGGCATCAGCTGGCATAGGCCAGACAATGCCCGCACTGCCCGCTCACCACAGCCATGGAATACACCTCATCAACACTCACTAACACCATATTGGAGCAGGCAGAGGGAGACTAGCACACCTCTGTTGTCGCTTGGCTTCCTGGGGCTGGAGGCTAGGAGGGAGATCTGGCCATCCGGTTGGGGTCTGGGGTGGTGGGTTGCTGTGCTCAGCGCTGGGCGGGGTAGCCTGCTCATCAGCACCCCCAGCAGAAAGGGTCGAACTCTTTGGTTGTATGTGCATGTGTGAGCATGAGGGAGGGAGGGTGTGACTGTGTTTGTGTATGACTGTATATGTCAGGTGGGGCCTTTGACTCCTCCCTTCTCCTGGGACTTCTTTTGATGATATAGATTTTCGTCTCCCCTCTCCCTGCCAAACCTGGTGTGGAGGGCGGTGCCTTGGTCTTTCAGGGTCGTGGCTTCCGGGTCAGGGAGTTGAAGATTTTTGGCGTCTGCCTGACCAATCCTGGTGGCTGCCTGGTGGGGTCTGGGTCCCTGGGCTCTGCTGCTAAGGGGGAGTTGTTTGTTTGTTTATTAAGATCCCCATTAGACCTGTTCCCGGTGAGGGTTGGACTCCGCCAGGGCTGCCCTTTGTCACCGGTTCTGTTCATAACCTTTATGGACAGAATTTCTAGGCACAGCCGTGGTGTGGAGTGTGTCGAGTTTGGTGGCAGGAGAATCTCGTCTCTGTTTTTTGCAGATGATGTGGTCCTCCTGGCTTCATCCAGCGCTGACTTTCAGCTCTTGCTGGGTAGGTTCGCGGCCGAATGTGAAGCGGCTGGGATGAGGATCAGCACCTCCAAATCACTCAGAGACCATGGTTCTCGACCGGAAAATGGTGGCTTGCCAACTCCGGGTCGGGAGAGAGGTCCTACCACAACATGCCCTACAGGTTATAAATTGTAAGTTGCTTTGGATAAAAGCGTCTGCGAAATAAAATAAACATAAACATAAGTGGAGGAATTTAAGTATCTCGGTGTCTTGTTCACGAGTGAGGGTAGAAGGGATCGGGAGATTGACAGGCGGATTGGTTCGGCGTCTGCAGTGATGCGGACGCTGAGCCGATCTGTCGTGGTGAAGAGGGAGCTGAGCCAGAAAGCCAGGCTCTCGATTTACCGGCCGATCTACGTCCAAATCCTCACCTATGGTCATGAGCTTTGGGTAATGACCGAAAGAACGAGATCGTGAATACAAGTGGCCGAAATGAGTTTCCTCCGTAGGGTGGCTGGGTTCAGCCTTGGAGATAGGGTGAGGAGCTTGGACATTCGGGAGGGACTCGGAGTAGAACCGCTGCTCCTCCAGATTGAAAGGAGTCAATTGAGGTGGTTTGGGCATCTGTTCAGGATGCCTCCTGGACGCCTCCCTGGGAGGTGTTTCGGGCATGTTCTGCCGGCAGGAGGCCCCCGGGTCAACCCAGGACATGTTGGAGAGGTTACATCTCCAATCTGGTCCGCGAACGCCTTGGGGTCCTGCCGGAGGAGCTGGTGGAGGTGGCTGGAGAGAGGATGGTGTGGAGCTCCCTAGTTGGGATGCTGCCCCCGCGACCCGGACCCGGATAAGCGGAGGAAGACGACGACAATGACGACAATTAATTTGATAATAAAAAAATGAAAATGTGTGTAGGTTGGCAATGTTCATGTCCCTTTCAGAAGCTGGACCACCTTGAGTCATGTAAAAATGTGACTCAATGTCACAATGTGACAGCTCCATCTAGTGGACAACTTTTGTTTCTGCACATACCTGTAGTTATCGTCCATTTATCGTAATCGAGGCGAAATCCTCAATATATTGTGATGTTGATTTTAGGCCATATTGCCCAGCCATAGATTTTAGGAACATTTTACTTTCAAAACTTATTTAAAAAAACATGAAACCATTCAAGTAATTGTTATGCTGTGTTATGGTTATTTTTCCAAATAGTGCAACATTAAAATTCTCATAAAATAAGTAAAGCTGAAGATATTTGAAAATATAAAATACAAACTGTGATGAAAACACAAAATTCTAAATGGTTTGAACTGAACTAAAAACTTGTAAAAACTGAAATAACATTTCTGCTTTCCTGATTCATTGAATCATTTTTCAAGTTGTTCTTTTGCTCATCAAAGTTAAGTTTATTCTTCTTCCGAGCCGTCTTTGAACACGCCTCAAGCAGACACACGCCAACGCAAGTAGATCTCAGTGCAGCTGAGCAGAAAAAGAGCAGCCTTCCAGAGCTGCAAAGAGGCAAAAAACTTAGCATGTTTTTTTTTTCCAGACAATGTGTGTGAGTTAAAGTATGCTGTTGCATGTAGATCATTTTAGCTAAGTGATGGTCCTGCCAACATGTTAAGCTAGTAAGTTCATGCTAGGAATACACTCAATTATCTTTCAGTCCTGTGCAAAACTTGTGCTCCCTGTGGTTTTCTGCATGTTTGAAAGACATTTTTATGCCACAACAGAGCAGTCAGGGACGAGCTACAAGACCAGAGGACAGCAGCAGGGATGATGAGGTTTACAGGTAAGGAGAGATTTGAACATGCTGAGAAAGAGTTCAATCATTAGGAGAAACAAGGCAGGCATCAGAAACAAAGAAAAAAGTAAGGAAGGATTTTTTAAAAATTATCCAAGTGGTGCTCGCTGCAGAACCACAAAGGCGGAGCTGCACCAGAAGGTGGAGCTGCACCAGAGTCAGCCCCGCCCATTCCAGAATCAGCCCCGCCCATTCTATCGGAGTCAGTCCAATTCCTTCCAGTTGCCAGACTTTATAGCATTCTGGAACCAAAGAGGGTGTTATAGCTAAAAAATGCAAGATTGAGGAGGGAGTTGAGAAGTGAATTGAACAGTTTTTGTAAAGGTTCCATATAATTAAAAATCTAACTTTTGGAACTTTTAATCATGTTATATTGTCATTTCCTCATAAGAAACACGCCAAAGCCATTTTTGGCCTCATTCATGCATTTTCTTCCCATCTCAGCTTCAATTTGGTCTCCTCCCCCAAAGCGGGTCTGGTCTTGGTTCTCAAATCTGGATATTCTGTGAATTTTCTGACAAATTATTTCTGAAATGACTTCTACTGAGACACCGCCAGAAAAATCATACATCCCATCTACAAAGACACACCAAATAACATAATTAAATGTAACGCCACCTCACTTTTATCAGATGTGGTGGTGTAGTGGTGATGGTGTCAGGTTGACTTGTAGTTTTGCGCAGGTTCGCCTCCCAGCAGTGGAAATATTCTATAATCTCTTTTCCTCATTTCTAGCTACACTTGCCAGTACTATGTTTACAACAATTTATTGGTATGCCGTTTAACATATAATGACTAATGTGTTTTTTTATTTATTCATTCGTTTATTTAGCCAGTGTGAGTCCATCTGTGAGCAGAGTTTCAACTAAAATGCTGTTTAGGAACGACCAAATTCAAAGAACTTGTAGAGACATAAATATTTTGCTGAAAATGAACATTACAACTAAAATATGAACAAATTAAATGTTTCAGCTGGCTGAATAGATTGTTGCCGACCCCACCGAGAATCGAACCAGCATCAGCTGAGGGGAAAGCAAAACTTAAGTCGGACGATCTTGACACTGGACTACCAGAACCCACAGGGAGGGGGTACATGCTGTTGTACACGACTTTTATTAGAGCGGCTGTGGGCAGATATTCGCTACGAGAAACCTTTTTATTTCGGGATATATTCAGACTTTGTCATGTAGCAAGTTATATTTATCTTGTTTAATTGGAGCACAGAACATAGCATTAACGACTGTAAACTAGTAATAGCCGTAATTCATGTGGGTCAGGTCAGTTTGCGATAAAGTTGAAAACAAAAACGGAAGTCAGTGGGCTAGGCTGAGTTTGCGTGAATGGGCGGGGTTAACTTTGGTGCAGCTCCACCTTATGGTGCAGCTCCGCCTTTGTAGTTCTGCAGCGAGCACCCTCTCAAATTATGTAGCACCTCTCAAGATAAAAATCACAAGGCACACACAAGAATGGAAAAAAACAAGTATTAAATAGATCATAATAAGAAATCAGGAGGAAAATTCAAGATAAAAATAAACATAGGAGCCTGAAAAAGACAACTGACAGAAATAGCAGAAAGAAGAGAAGGCTAAGATGAAGAATCAACTCCAGGCTCCAAAGCCTGCCTGAACAGGTGAGTTTTCAGCTGCTTTTTAAAGGAGACCACTGATCTCAGGCTCAGGAGGAGAGAGGCCTAGAGTCTGGAGACCACAGCAGCAGATGATCTGTCACCTTTGGTCTTAAGCCTGGTGCTGCACAACCAGTATGCTTTGGTCACTGGACCTCAGGGGCCTGCTGGGGGTGTAGGGACTGAGAAGATCACCAATGTATGATGGTGCTTGTCCATGTAAGGCCCTATAGACCAGAACGAGGATCTTTAAATGAACCCTGAAGTTGACTAGCAGCTATAGTTTTAGGGGAGGGGGCATGCCCCTCAGTTTTGCAGAAATATTTGTGCAATATTCCGATTTTATAC